GAATTATTTCATTTCTAATGTTTATTCAAAGTTTATTTTGATAAATTGCTTTAGTTTAGAATGAAGTTAATGAAGAAAACACCTTTCCTACTTCCTAGGGAACCAAATTTAGTCAGATAGGGTCAGTCAGTAGAATAGCCTGGAATTTTCATTGGTAAACCAGTAGAATAGTCAGTAGAATAGTTAGTAGTAGGAGATAGGGAACCAAATTTAGTCGGATAGAGAACCAAATTTAGTCAGATAGGGAACCAAATTTAGTCAGATAGGGAGGGAACCAAACTTAGTCAGATAAGGAACCAAATTTAATCAGATAGGGAACCAAATTTAGTCAGATAGGGAGGGAACCAAACTTAGTCAGATAAGGAACCAAATTTAGTCAGATAGGGAACCAAATTTAGTCGGATAGAGAACCAAATTTAATCAGATAGGGAACCAAATTTAGTCAGATAGGGAGGGAACCAAACTTAGTCAGATAAGGAACCAAATTTAGTCAGATAGGGAACCAAATTTAGTCGGATAGAGAACCAAATTTAATCAGATAGGGAACCAAATTTAGTCAGATAGGGAGGGAACCAAACTTAGTCAGATAAGGAACCAAATTTAGTCAGATAGGGAACCAAATTTAGTCAGATAGGGAGGGAACCAAACTTAGTCAGATAAGGAACCAAATTTAGTCAGATAGGGAACCAAATTTAGTCGGATAGAGAACCAAATTTAATCAGATAGGGAACCAAATTTAGTCAGATAGGGAGGGAACCAAACTTAGTCAGATAAGGAACCAAATTTAGTCAGATAGGGAACCAAATTTAGTCGGATAGAGAACCAAATTTAATCAGATAGGGAACCAAATTTAGTCAGATAGGGAGGGAACCAAACTTAGTCAGATAAGGAACCAAATTTAGTCAGATAGGGAACCAAATTTCTACTATCCATTTCTACTACTGTCCACTACTATCCACTACTATCCTACTATCCATTATTAGCTTGCTAAAGCGATATTTGATAACCCTTAAAATAATAACTAACAAAAAAAAAACTAGAGAACGTTTTTGATTAAGTTTGAACGTTTTTGAACTATTTCTCAAGATAATATTTATACTTTTTTAGATTTTAAACATTAATACAATCGACTCTATAACGGAATGGAAAAAACAAAAAATTTTTCGTTATATAGAGTGCTTGTCTATAGCTTAGCGTCGGCTGGGACCAAAATTCCATTCTATTAGATAGTTTTCAGCTATATAGGATTCTGCTAGAGAAATAGAGAGACTCTAGATCTAAAATCATCCCTTTTATCAAATGCTAGATAAATTCGAGTTTTTTTTCTAGTTGTTGAATTTGAGGCGAAAATGAAACTTTTCTATGCATTACCAATTGCCTTAAAAGTAAATTCTTACCAATTAGCTCATTGGTTTGTTCTTTAATTTGCTCACCAATTAGCTCATTAGTTTATTCTTTAATTTGCCCATCAATTAGCTCATTAGTTTGTTCTTTAATTTGCCCATCAATTAGCTCATTAGTTTGTTCTTTAATTTGCCTACCTCATTAGTTTGTTCTTTAATTTGCACCTAATCTGCGATCATTTCCATTTTGGGGAAAGAAATCGGACTTTGATTGAAGAATTGAAGGGGAGAAAAAGAGATGGAAAAGAAGGGGAATGGCTGTGTTTGGTTATCCCATTCAACACGAGGTGGGCAGAGAAGGGAAAAGAAAAGAAAAAAGGAAAGAGGGGAAAGAACGGGGGAAAGGAAAGAAAAAGAAAAGAAAAAGAAAAGAAAAGAGTGGAAAGAACTGTCCGAGAATCGAGAAAAGAGAAAAGAACCCTGTGAGATCACACCAAAAAGGCATTCAATCGTTTCCTTTTTGCTTTAAAGTTTTATTTTATATTAGTCTTTTGCAATCATAATTTATGATTTTTAGTTTGTAAAGCTGAAGATTTAGATATTATTCATATTACTTTATCTTTTAAAGTCAATTTTTGGTTACTTGTAGATAAAAGTTTGACTAAGAGTTTGATGAGAAATTCTCTGGATTGAATTGAGTTATTATATGTTATTGTTTCTAAAGCTGAAGATTTAGATATTATTATTATTACTTTAGCTTTTAAAGTCAATTTTTGGTTACTACTTTTACTTTTAAAATCGATTTTTGTTTACTATATTGTAGATAAAAGTTTGACTAACAGTTTTGATGAGAAATTCTCTGAATTTGACTGAGTTATTAGTTGTTATTGTTTCTAAAGCTGAAGATTTAGATATTATTCTTATTACTTTATCTTTTAAAGTCGATTTTTGATTACTATTTTGTAGATAAAGGTTTGACTAACAGCTTTGATGAGAAATTCTCTGAATTTAACTGCACTATTATTTGTTATTGTTTCTAAAGTTGAATATTTAGATATTATTCTTATTACTTTATCTTTTAAAGTCGATTTTTGATTACTAGTTTGTAGATAAAGGTTTGACTAACAGTTTTGATGAGAAATCTTCTGAAATTAACTGTGTTATTATATGTTATTGTGTTTAAATCTAAATTTAAACTTTATAATTATCATTTCTATTCATTATACAATAAAAGAATAGCTCAAATTACCTTTCAATGACTAATCTTTATTGTTTTTTGCAATCTTTATTGCTTTTTGATCTATTTTTATTATTTTTACGAACTCTTTACTGTTTAAAAGTGTACTTTATATTGTAAAAATGAAAACATATCCTTCCTGGTACACTAATGCTTCTTTAAAAGCTGATTTTCTTGTAAATTTTAATGTATTAAACTATAGTTTTTTCAAGAATTTTTATGAAATCTTTACTATTGTTTCTTTTTCTTTTCAATTATTATTTTCTAAGCTTTAATAATAAAATAAAGTTAGAATAAAGTTAATAATCTAATTATATTTTATTAAAAGACTTTTTCTACAATTTTATCTCCAAAAAAAAACGATTCTCCCAGCCTCGCCTCCGGCATTTTCTTTTCATTTCTTTATCAACAATTATCCAAACTATAAATTCATTTATTTTTAAAGTAAATAAGAAAACTAAGAGAAAGAGAAAATCATTTTGACTTTAGTTTTATGCATAAACTCTTTACATTGGGGTAATTAAAGCATGCAATATCATTGTGTCAGATCCAACCTTCGTCATCCAACCCTCCAACCCTCCAACCTTGTGTCAGATCCACCGCCAGATAGTGAACTTAAGTGTACATTGTGCTTAGTTAATAATCTAGTTAATAATCTAGTTAATAATCTAGTTAATAATCTAGTTAATAATCTAGTTAACAATCTAATCATATTATATCAAAAGATTTCTCTAAACCATTTTTCTACTATTTCATCTCCAAAAAAAACGATTCTCCCAGCCTCGCCTCTGGCATTTTCTTTTCATTTCTTTTCATTTCATTTCATTTCTTTATCAACAATTATCCAAACTATAAATTCATTTATTTTTAAAGTAAATAAGAAAACTAAGAGAAAGAGAAAATCATTTTGACTTTAGTTTTATGCATAAACTCTTTACAATTAAATAATTAATTAATTAACCATGCAATATCATTGTGTCAGATCCAACCAGGCAATCCCAAATTTAGAGAGACAAGGAACCAAATTTAGAGAGAAAAGGAACCAATACTAGGCTGGTTCGAGTCCGCTATCGGCATTTCTTTTGCGATTTTTTCGGCAATTAAAAGATTTCAATAGATTCTATGGAAATTGTTGAAAGTTGCAGGTATTCTGGTGTTTTATTCGTCATCCAACCTTCCAACCCTCCAACCTTGTGTCAGATCTGACGCCAGATAGTGAACTTAAGTGTACATTGTGCTTAGTTAATAATCTAGTTAACAATCTAGTTAATAATCTAGTTAATAATCTAATTATATTATATCAAAAGGTTTCTCTAAGCCATTCCTCTACAATTTCATCTCGAAAAAACGATTCTCCCAACCTCGCCTCCGGCATTTTCTTTTCATTTCTTTATCAACAATTATCCAAACTATAAGTTCATTTATTTTTAAATTAAATAAGAAAACTTTTAGATATTCTTTTCAAATCTTAAGCTAATCTTTATTAGAAACGTTTTTTTTATAGGAAATTTTGATTTAATAACTTTTCTCGAACTATAAAAAAACTTTTGAAAGAAATTTTAACCAAAAAACAAAGATTGTTAAAAGAAAAACCTTGATTCTTCATTAAAATGAAGTCAATTGATTTCAAATTTCTTTACCAATCGAATAATTTTGCTCGTTTTCCTTGTTTTTCTATGCAGAAAATGGCTGAATTGAGAAAAGAAAAGTTATTTTAATCCAGTAAATATTTTCCTAAATCTTTTGACTTTTTTGATATAAGAAATGATTTTTATAAGTTTTTTTATAAAATAAAATAATGATTATAATAATTTGACTTTAGTTTTATGAATAATTTCTTTACATTCGGGTAATTAAACCAGGCGTTATTTTGATAAAAACAAATCGTTTCTAGCTTATTCAAACTTCATTTTGCGAGATCGATAGCGTCAGAAAGGATGCGTTTCTATTTGATGTCAGATCCAACCTTTACACCGCCAAATACTGAACTTGAAAGTACATTGTGCTTTGAAATAAAAACACATCCTTTCTAGCTTACTCAATCTTCATTTCGAGATCGATAGCGCCTCGATATTCGAGATCGATAGCGCCAAAAAGGATGTGTTTCTATTTTGATATTCATTGTGTTAGATCCAACCTTTACACCGGCAGATAATGAACTTGAATGTACATTGTACTTAGAAATAATGAACTTGAACGTACATTGTACTCAAAACACATCCTTTCTAGCTTACTCAATCTTCATTTCAATATCGATAGCGCTTATTTGATGCTTCTTTAGATTTATAAGATTATCTCAGCTTCTTTTTTTTGCTCTCCTTTTTCTAGTGAATAGATTTATGTTCTAGATCGTACTCTTTCATTTATTAACCAAAAATTTTAAGTCTGAAAGAACCTGTCCATATTGTTTGTGTCATCGGATGACAGTAACATTGGTGAAGTTGAAAGTAGGACATGCGAGCGAGCGATTAACGAAGAAAAATGCGGCTGGTGAGTCAAGAAAAAAGGAGGGGTAAACATTGAGAAAAGACTACAGAAAAGATTTTTTTATATTTTAGATTCTTTATTCTTCTTAAAAATTGGTTTTTAAGAAGAAGAAAAGTTGATATAAACCGTTAGATCGATCGTTCAATTTCAATTCAGTATTGCAAACATTTTTTACAACCTATGGCTTTTTATAGAAAAGAAATGAAAGAAAAACATTCTCAAAAACATTCTAAGAAGGACATCCTACCGTAAATACTGTAATAGTACCCCACCGCCCTCGTACAGTCGCGTTGTCGCAAGTATTTCAAAAGTTTTTTAAGTATTTCATTTGCAAAGCACCCATACTTTCAAAAAATGCGTCTTTGGTATGAAAAAATAGCCCTGAATTTCAGCTATTTTTTGACACCTAAGCGCACATTGTAGCATAGACCAGTGTCGAGAAAAACTCGGTCAAAGCTAGACGACGCAACACTCCGCACCGTCATTATGTGCGGTACTATTACAGTATTTATCGTATGGCTTTTTATAGAAAAGAAATGAAAGGAAAACATTCTCTTTTTCCTATTCCTCTCTTATCTTTTCTTAAGATCGATGTTTTTTTATTTGAAAACCAAAAACCATAATACCAAAATTTTCTCCAAACAAAATGAAACATTTTGTTTGGAGAAAATTTTGTTCAAAGTTGAAAGAAGGGCACGATTTATTTAGTTCTATTTTTAATTATGCAAAATTTAAAACTTTCCCTATTGAATGGACGAAGTAGCTTTTTAAACTAACTTTCCCGTTCCATCTCTTGAATGAGCGAAGAGCTTTCCCGTTCCATCTCTTGAATGAGCGAAGTAGCTTTCCCGTTCCATCTCTTGAATGAGCGAAGTAACCTTCTAAAGTAACTTTTCCATTCCCATCTCATGAATGGGCGAAATAGCTTTTTAAACTAACTTTCCCGTTCCCGTATCTCGAATGAGCCAAGTAAAACATTATCTAAACTTCAACAAACTTTACTTACAAAACTTTGAAACCTGAAAACTTTTCCAATGATTGTCAGCTTACTTGTAGTTAGTTAGAGACTGGATTCTACTAATTTCTTAAACAAATTAGCTATTTTAAATGATAAATAAGATAATTTCTAAAGAAGTAAGCTTGATTAGATCAGAGATTAATAAAATTTCTAAAGAAATTTTGCAAAAAGTTAGCTTGATTTATATATGCTTATGCTTTATTCAGTTCTGTGTAGGGGAGTATCAAATCTGTGTAGGGGAGTATCAAATCTGTGTAGGGGACCATCAAATCCGTCCTGTGTAGGCGAGTATCAAATCTGTGTAGGGGAGTATCAAATCTGTTGAATAGCGACAAAACAAAATCACAATAATTACCCGGGACACCACTCAAAACACATCCAAAAGATAAATCGATACCTCAAGAAAGCTAAATTCTTGGAAAATTTTAATCTAACAATAAAATGAATCCATTTTCAGGTCATGATTATCGATGGAGAGTTTTCGTGAAACCGGTGACGGGAGATCAATTCGCTGATCGATCGCTCATCCACAAGGCAAAGAATTCGGCAAAAATAAACATCCCCAAACAATAGCTTGAAATAGAGAATCGAATTTTTTGTTGGGAAAAATGAAAATACAAATGATTTTCTAGGTGATTTTCAATCTACATACATCTTTTGACAATCCGACAAGAGTAATCAAACAGCCGCCGTTTGAGGTCACTGAGACAGGTTAAATTTTAAAGAAAAATAAGTTCTAGTAAATTATTTGGAATACTGAAGATTGATCGAATAGTTGATTGTAAAGATAATGCACCGATTTTGAGTGGAAACAAGTACAGCAACTTACAGATAAGTTAGTTATAGTTAGTAGTTATTGTAGAGTTATAGAATAGCTATAGAATAGCTATAGAATAGTTGTTGCCTTGTCTCACATAGTTATTTTGAAGCCAATCCTTTTCTAAACTGCTTTCACTTGATTTTCCCTGCAGTTTCAGCCTATAAACTACTAGAATTTGAACTTGAAACGAAACAAGTCTAGCCTGGTAAAGCCTAGAATCTGATTAACATTCCTAGTCTCAGAACTCACCACTGACAAGACAAACTTTACAATTTCTCAATTGATCTTACAATGATCTTAACATAATAAAATATGTTTTCAGGATATGGCAGCTTCACAATGCAAATCATTATCATTCTTGCAAATGATAAGAAAAAAGAATATCCTATTCAGTATGAGCTTTTACTCACGAATGGTCAGTTGAGATTTCTTTTAGAAATATTCTCTATTATATTCCGTATTCTCTCTAATAGTAGTGCACCCTGATCGTCGTCTAAATTCCTTGAGATCTCAAAAACCGCTTATCACAACCTATTGATGTGGGGTCGGAAAATGTAGCTGACGATGAAGTCTTGTGGGGGATTAGAGGGTTGAGCTTCTGGGAAAACTTCGAAACCGTAAAATAGTCATCAACTCGGCGGGGTGCACTACTATTAGAGAGAATACGGTAAATATTGAATTTCATCTGTGCATTATCACAAAAAACAAAAACATGCCTTCTGAATTACCGTATTTTCTCTAATAGTAGTGCACCGTGAGCGTTGCCTAGATTCCTCGAAATCTCGAAAAGCGCTGATCAGAACCTATCGATGTGAGGTCAGAAAATGTAGCTGATGATGGGATCTAGTAGGGGATTAGAGTGTTGAGCTTCTGCAAAAGCTTGGAAACCGTAAAATAGTCATCAACTCGGCGGGGTGCACTACTATCAGAGAGAATACGGTATACAAATCAAGTTGACAAGTGATTAGATTAGATTTCAATTTCTAGATATCCATTATCAATCGAGCAATATACAAAAGATTGGTATTCAAACGCCGACATCAGCCGAATTTCAAATGGCAATCAAGCGATATTGTGGAGAAGCGTAAGAAAATCCGCTTTATTTGATTTGTTTTGATTTTCTAAGTTGTTAAATGAATGAATATTGCTATCAAGCAATGTTAATTTAAAATTATTCACTAAATCTTATACTTTTTGGTAATAGTAAATTGCTTTCTTTAGCCCGTCGAGTCAGCGAAGCTCCGACGCCTCTCCAGAATCTAAAGAATCAAAAATCAAATCATCAAATTTGGTAAGAGTTTAAATACTTTAAAAAATGCATCAGAAATCCTGTTTCTCTTTAGCACAAAGTAAATAAACAATCTGTTTATTCAGAGTTTATCCACCTCTTCTCTATTCGACTCCAATCAAACATCAAGCTCCTCCAGCTCATCCCAATCCTCAAACTCATCCGACAGCTCTGACAGTGAGGGAGAAAAGAAGCGAAAGCTCTTGAAGAAGAAAACAAAGGAAATGCAAAAAGTATGTGCTTTGGATAGGCTTTTTAAAAGTAGAGATTAGCACTAACACAATGAACAAAATCAAAAGTTTAGGATGAACCGAAATCCAAATTCAATCGACCAAAAGATGCGCCGAAATCAATGAAGAAAAAGATTGCCATGAAAGATCAACAAATCAAGAACAGTCCAACCTCATCAACAACAACATCTGTGACTCCAGCATCGACACCGGGTACATCGAGTACTTCCAAGGATCCACGAGCCACCCCAACAACACCGGAGAACCGAAGTGTGAAAACGGAAACGAGCTTGACTCCACCGGTTAGTTTTTTTAAGTTTAGTGATGTTATTGAGAACGCTAAGTCTTACAATTGACTCGAAACTTTCTCAAATTTGAATTTCAGATGAAGAATGGCGGTCTTCGACTCTCTGAAGTCCCAATCATTCCTGATATTGCTTTAAAGACAAAAAATAGAGAAAGTGGAAAAGAAAAGAGAAAAGATCGAGATAAAAAGAGATCAAGTGAAGAATCAATCACATCACAACCAGAAAAACGAATCAAATATGAGAGTGAAGAGAAAGAAAAGGATGAGAAGAGGGAACGAACGGTGTCTGTGACGAATGGCTTGAAGACAAGTGACAAAGTTGATGTCAAGAATGAAAGAGTCAAAGAAGGAAAGGAAATGAAAGAGATGAAGAAAGTGAATGGGAAAGAGGAAGATGGGAAAACGAGAGAGGAGTTGGAGAGAAGTGTGGGCAAGAGGCTGAAAGGACTGCAGAATGGAAGTGTCGATTCACAGGTTCGTTGAGAAGTAAACGCACATTTTAGAAGATACTTTATTAAGTTAACTTTAAAAATAAGATTTTTAATAGACTTTTTTGTACTCACAAAGTACAAAAAAACCCAAGTCTAACCTATTCATTTCAAATTTCAAAGATTAAAACTGAGAACTAGACTTGGCTAATGAGACAAATGGGCTGCACAACTCCAGGCACTTGATCTAGCCACCAGAGCATCGGATTCCAATAAACTTTTGTTAAATTTAAAAACCAAGATTTTAAGCTATCTAATGATACTCATCATTTAGATTTTTCTTTTGAAAAAGTGGGTCAAAAAACTTATCGAGATCGAGATAACGAAGAGTTGTCTCGTTAAGTCTCGATAAGGCTTTTGACTCCCATTTTCAAAACAAAAATTCAAGTGATAGATATCATTAGATAGCTTAAATCTTATTGAGAATTAACGAGATAACGAGGAATTGTTTTAGTTAAATCTCGATAAGGTTTTTTCCCGTCAAAACAAAAATATAAGTGATAAATATCATTAGATAGCTTAAAATCTTGGTTTTTAAATAAAAAAGTCTATTGGAATCCGATGCTCTGGTGGCTAGATCAAGTGCCTTGAGTAGCAGACCCCGATTTTTTGTTCTGTCTCGTTAAGCAAGTCTACTGAGGCCTTAAGACAGGGATAAGTTACGGTTACTATCTTGATCTATAGTTGATAAGTTCAAAAAATTAGAGATAAAATCGAATACTTTAAGTTAATATATTGTTGTAAGACAGTTTTCTGTAGTGAATTTCCCAAAATTTAGTCTCTTTTCGACATCGCTCTCCTCTTGGTTCGAGAAGGATCCGCAAAATTGAATGGGACTTCTCTCGAGTATGATCTCACCACTTATTCCCTCACTTCTCTACAAAAAATCTATCATCGTTTAAGAAAAGTAAATGTTAAAATGATTATTTAACATTTATAGTTGAAAGATTTATAAGTTCATCTCAATCTCTACAGTCTTAAATTTCTTAATCGAATTTATTCCTCAACTTACCGTATTTCTTTCGAATAGAAGACCGGGTAAAGAGTATCATAGCGTACTCCGTACTCCTGCGTACCATCGCGTACTCCTGCGTAGCAGCCCTTTTTAAAATTGTCGATAAAAGCTTTCAATCAAGTGTCATAGAGCTGGCTCAAAAATCTGTTAGCTCATGTGGTATTTTTGAGTCCTTTTTCCAGCTCTATAGCACTTCATTGAAAGCTTTTATGCAGAAAAGAAAGGGCTGCTACGCGAGAGTACGCTATGATACTCTTTACCCGGTCTTCTATTCAAAAGAAATACGGTATTCCCCCTTATCTCTGGCTCAAAGAGCAAACTTGATAAGTAAAATTTGAGAAATTGAAAACTTAGTTGTTCTTTATGCAATTTCTTTCATTGCAATTTCTTTTGTTATTCAAAAAAATTCACTGTGATTGCCTCAAAAAATCTATCCGTTGTCATTATTACTGGTCGACAAAACTGTCACTCTATTTCTTTATTTTGCCTTGCCCATCGAATTGGGTTTTCTTATTAATTAGCAATTCTTTAAAGATTCCATTGTTTCATTTAGTATTTTTGATCATGTGGAGGTGTTAGACAGCTTAGACAGCTTAGACAGCTTAGACAGCTTAGCTTAGCTTAGACAGCTTCGACAGCTTAGACAGCTTTGAAGCTTAGCTTAGACAGCTTAGACAGCTTTGAAGCTTAGCTTAGACAGCTTAGACAGCTTGCTTAGACAGCTTTGAAGCTTAGGCAGCTTAGACAGCTTAGGCAGCTATTCCCCAATGAATTCCAATTATCATTAATATCAAATCTAGCCACATCTTTCCTTGAAATCAAATGCAAGTTTAAGATGATCCCTTATTGCCACTCAGCTACCGTAACCCTAAATCTCTATAATATAATATAACTATATCTAAGTATACCGAAAAAACTCTAATTAAACGACTCCCTATAGGAGCGTCGTGTAGTCTAAGTTTACTCTCAAATAAACGCTCATATCTTGACATCAGTACGTTTATTTCTGTGCGCTTAGGTATCAAATTAAAGTAGAGAGGATGGGTGATTTTTTAAGATATAACACATATTTTTAACATTAACCAGTGCTTAGAAAAAAATGATTGAAAAGTGGCAAAAAAAGAGCCGATTTTCCCCACTTTTCAATCATTTTTTTCTAAGCACTGGTTAATGTTAAAAATATGTGTTATATCTTAAAAGATTACCCAGCATCTCTACTTTAATTTGTTACCTAAGCGTGCAGAAATAAACGTACTGGTGTCAAGATATGAGCGTTTATTTGAGAGTAAACTTAGACTACACGACGCTCCTATAGGGGGTCGTTCAATTAGAGTTTTTACGATAGTTTCTATTGCAGTAACCAAAGTATCAATCATAATAATAATTGAGGTAAATAATTGAGTTTCGGGGATATAGTAGGTTTAAGGCATCAGCTTTAAAGCGATGATTTACTCGTCATTGGTAATGATAGTCATTGAGTTTTCAACCCGTCCACAAGCTCAACAAGTACTCGAATTTTACAAGTAAAATAAGTACTCAATCCCCCAAGTGACACCATCTCATCCGATCTCAGCCATCACATTTCATTCATCCATTTCATTCATCATTACTTTTTTCATTATTTTATTAGATCAATTTCCTTAATGAATAATTTATTTCAAAAGGGTATAAATTTTCCCCTAAAAAGTTTGCCTTGTGATAGATCGATTTGAATCTTTGTTTAATCTATTTCTAATAGATTAAACATTCTATTTCTGTTTAATCTATTTCTAATCTATCTCTCTTGTTGTTGGATAATAAATAATGAAAGTTTAGAAAAACGAATATAACAAACAGTACGTTACGTACAGTACTGGACAATGAAATATGATATTTGAAAAACGACCGTCACTTTCGCTCGTCTGTAACTCCCTTGTCTTTACCGTATTTCTAAATATTAATATTACCATTGGGTAGCCCTTGAAAAGAGCTTTCAGAAAATGTTTAACACTAATAGTTTAAACTCAAAGACAACGGAGTTACAGACGCGTGAACTCTTCAAGTAAGTCAAGCTAGATTCAAGCTAGATTCAAGTCTGATTCCTGCCTGTTTCATGGACTTTTGTAAGCCAAACCTAAAGCCAGCCCTTGTGAGCTAATCAGATGATGCCAACGCCAGAAATCAGCCAGAACCTGATCTTGGTTAGACTTGGCTTACAAGGGAAAGTCACGAAATCAAGGTGGCCAATCAAAATAAGACCTACAGTACTGGACAATGAAATATGATATTTGAAAACCGATCGTCACTTTCGCGCCTCTGTAACTCCCTTGTCTTTGATGTTTAAACTATTAGTGTTATACATTTTCTGAAAGCTCTTTTCAAGGGCTACACAATGGTAATATTAATATTTAGAAATACGGTAAAGACAAGGGAGTTATAGACGCGCGAAAGTGCGAAAGTGTTTTTGTCAAATATGAGATTTCATTGTTCAGTAGTGTATGTCTCTCTTGTTGTTGAATAATAAATTTATGATTTTAAGCTGCTTTAAAAAACTTTATTTATGTTTTAAAACAAAATCCAAATCAAATCTGGAACTAGAGATTCGAGAAATATTGCATTATTGTTTGTACTGAAGAAAATGAGTAAATTGAGAAAAAAATACCCTTTCTGGCACTCAACTCAGCATTATTCTTGTAAAGAAAAGCTAGAAACATAGGCGAGAAAGTGTATTTTTATAAATAAACCAAAAAACTAAAAATTGAGATCAACATCAGCATGGCAATGAGAAAATTTGAGAGGAAAATTATATTTTTGTATTTGATCCCTTTGTGTCGATACTTTTCCCATCATGATCCGTTATAACAAGTGTCGGTTTGTGCATTCGACTTTGATTATCGAAGGCATTATCACCTGTCGTCGTGTGCATCGACCCAATTCGTAATCTGAATCCCAATTTTTCGCTGTGTTTCGAAAAATTTCGACAAAAACAGCACAGAGACCGGCACAGCAAAACCTCAGCACTTTTGCTGAGGGCAAAACCTCAGCAACAGCTCACGGAATTAAGTAAATTTCAAGAATTGAAAAACATTTGAAAAAGCAAATCAGAATCAGTTCTTAAAAGTTTCTTTTTTTTAAAAAAACAAAAATTTTCTGGAGGTATGGGGAATCGAACCCCAGACTTCTCGCATGCAAAGCGAGCGCTCTACCCCTGAGCTATACCCCCGGTGAGATGATCGGGGAAATTTCGAGTTTTCAAAGGCGGCGGGAAAATTGAAAGCAAATACAAAAGCAAGGTTTTTTTGATTTGATTTTCATAAATTATAAGTCTTTCAATTCTTGAAATTTTTCAAAGTTTGATTGAAAGGAAGATTGAGAGATCAGTCACACAAAAGGGGAGTCACCCTAACACACCCTAGAAATCGTTTTTGGGCACAATCGGTGTGAGTCTGATGGCTTGAATCGGGTGAATGGGAGTGTTGGGACGAGTGTTTGATTTTCCGATCTTTTGTCTGGGTGTCCGGGGTGTTGTATCGTCGTGGTGTTCGCCAAAATCGTGATGTTGTGTGCGTCGATCACCGTTGGCCGTCGTTGAGCTAGACATAAAACACCAAATAAACGATTTGCACCATGCAAATTTTGATAGAGCTGCTTTCTCTCTTTGATACAATAAAAAGGGTATTGAAATGATGAGCTCAAAGAATTCAGGAACACAAGGTGCACTTTTTGCGTTCTTTTTATTATATTTTTGAGCGATAGTAAGCGTTGATGTGGTAAATGAGAGTTCAAGTACTGCTACAGAAGTTTATTCAATCTTAGTGCTTAACTTGATAGTTTACTATCAGAAAATGATATTGTAAAGTTCTACTTTACGACAGTACACAGACTACAGTACGCAGGCTACAGTACTTAGGCTGTAGTACTCAGACTACAGTACGCAGGCTACAGTACGCAGGCTACAGTACTCAGACTACAGTACGCAGGCTACAATACGCAGGCTACAGTACTCAGACTACAATAGGCTACTGAAGTCACTGTATCAAAAAGATTACTGTAGCTCTTCCCCCTTGTATTCCTTCATTCTTCTCCTGCTAGAAGACACCGAATAGCTTATTAGTTAGAGCATTTGCTCTTCCTTCCATTTGCTCTAAAGGTGGAGGGTTCAATCTCTCTCCAGAAATCTTTCTTTACCATTCCTCACTTTACTGTAGTGAGAAAAGCTGCTGAGACTTTGCAAGCTCTCAAAGCATCTCTGCATTTTCAATCATCCATTTTTCACAATCCCATTTACCTACCTTCTCCCAATTGCTCTCTTAATCGCTGTCCGATAAGGTCTAACATAATAAATTGTTATAAATGGAGCCGCCGCTGGGTAGCAACTAAAAATCACAAAATTTTTCTCATTTTCAAATTAATCTCTGATTTTCTAAATCCAATTTTTCTCCAATTTACTGTTTCTTTTCGATACAAAGCACAAAAAAAATATACCTAAAAATTGGGAAAACGAGATACTCCAATAAGGTACAGCGAAAAATTTCCAAATGATATAAAAGATATAAACCGATTGGTGGGAAAACGAAAAGAACTGGGAGTGAGGCTTGGATTGATAGAGCCTGCAAAAGGATTATCTTTCTTTTTTTTCGTTTATTCACTTACAATCAACAATTTTCGATGATTAGCCACTGTTGAAGCGCTCATTTTCTAAACGATCATTCTTTTTTGAGCAAGAAAATCTTAAGCATTTAGTAGAAAAAGCTTTCTAGCTTTCTAGTTCACTTTCTAGCATTCTAGCTTTCTAGTTCTAGTTCTAGCTTTCTAGTTCACTTTCTAGCATTCTAGCTTTCTAGTTCTAGCTCTAGCTTTCTAGTTCACTTAATTTTCATTCTCCAAAGATTGCTATTCTTTTGAGTATTTTAGAATAAAGCTATAGCTTGAAGCACATTAGTTTTTGCTTCAATTTTTAAATAAAAAGTACATTTAGAAATATCTAAAAACTTACATCAGCATGCGATGAAAGAAAGCCATTAATTTTCTTGTAAAAGAACATGACAAGGAGGTAGATTGGGAACATTGGGAGGATGATTGTAAGCAAAACGACAGTCACCTATAATACAATAAAGCTATAGCTTGAAGCACATTAGTTAACTTGAAAATGTCAAATTTTACTCACCAGTGGATGCTCTAACATATGAAAATTGCCTGATATGACCAAACCGGTTAAATTATACTCGGGACGAGCGATGGCGAGCTTTTGTCTCACTAATGTGGAGTCCAGTTGAGAGAAGTGGAACATCCACTGAATAGTTTGCTAATATGATCAAATTATAGTTTACTGATAGTTACTGATAGTTTACTGATAGTTTACTGATAGTTACTGCTAGTTTACTGATAGTTACTGATAGTTACTGCTAGTTTATTGATAGTTACTGATAGTTACTGATAGTTTACTTATAGTTACTGCTAGTTTACTGCTAGTTTACTGCTAGTTTACTGATAGTTTACTGATAGTTACTAATAGTTTATTGATAGTTACTGCTAGTTTACTGATAGTTACTAATAGTTTACTGATAGTTTACTGATAGTTTACTATTATAAAATGATAATTCACTAATAGTTTACTAAATAATTCAACATTAGATCTATGGTTTTACAGTGAGTTTTAACAGCGTAACTGTAAGTGTATCTAAAGATACACTCAGTTTTGAGTCAATTCTTGATAATCCTTCAGAGAAAACAGATAGTAAGCTTTTAGTAAAGAGGAATTTTCGCGTTTTTGGTAAAGTTTTATTTGAAAAGAGGATTAGCTGATCGAATTATTCTAAAAACCTTAGAAAGATATCTAACTGTCAGCTTCAAAAATGTTCGCTGGTTCGCTTTTTGCAATGTACACTATTGATCAAAGAATGCTTTAAATCGCTTGAACCCAATTTACCCTTTGAGAAAAGTTGATCAGAGGTTTCTCATTTCACATGGACTATTTCGGAGAATCCCATTTCTCCGTCCCGTCGGAGTGTAATTCATTTGAGAAAACTGTAGTCGAAAGCCAAGAAATAACAAAATACTCAATTTAATTGCTCTCTTTACTTTTCATTTTATGAGTTTTTCGTTTTTATTCCAAATTTAAAGCTTTTCTTTATCATTTTCAATACTTACATGTTGAAAGAAAGCCGGTATCCATAACAAAAAACATAGCAAAGCAAGGGTTCTCGGAGTGGGCACCGGTCGGATCAACACAAAATATCGGAAACCGAAAGAGAGTGGGAAACAGAGAAATGTGTAGAAAATTGAGTGCAACTGCAGGGTGTACATCTAAATTTTGCAAGTTTTTAAACAAGTATGATATGTATTGTATCAATACAAATCCAACCTAGCATCATAAAGGCACAGAAATTTTGAGCACCAATGGTTGCTGACACAACTGATAGGACCCTAGAGGCTGTAAGCAAAGTCTGACTTGGCTAAGCCTGTCATAAGTTTCAGGTCTAGCTGAAGGACTTTTGTGGGTTAAGCAGTAAAGCCAGGCAGGTTTGCAGGAAAGCCAATCCGGGCGATCCAGGCTATGGAGGACTGGGTTCTAGCCTGGCTCAAATCTAGCTCTAATCCTGATCTATGCCTGAGCCGGTCTACTTTCGATACAGCCTCTATAGTGTATAAATCTATACCATAGCTTGTACTAGATTTATTAAGCTATCCAGAAAATCTTTTCTTTACTTATTTCCATTGAAAGCTTAAGACTAGTGGCATGAGTTTTTTCGAAACTAATTCCCTCCTCTAGGTCACTCACCTCATACTCGAAACTCGGGCCCAGAAATTTCGATCCACCCAAATGAATATACACAAAATACCATCGATTTGGGATTATTCTAAATGTTTTAAATCACTAGAATGACTAAATTATGAGATTTTCAACAATGACATGACGATTGTTTTTCTTTTCTTTCTTTTCTTTCTTTTCTTTCTTTTCTTTCTTTTCTTTCTTTTCTTTCTTTTCTTTCTTTTCTTTTCTTTTAAGTTTTAAAAGCATCTAGTTCAAGTAATCTGTTTCAATTCTAGAAAACGTAAATTTCTCTATTTAGTGAATTTATCGTTTTGTATAACTCACCTAACTTGCGCCAAAGTAGTTGACAAGCTAAACAAAATATCGGTGATACAAGCGTTGAATAGCAGTACTCGATAGACTTTCAGTGAATCGGGTGTCTTTTTTAAGATTAAAAACAATAAAATTAGGTTACTTGGTACACCTAGATTTGATTATCAAAAAAAGAAAACTTGAATTTTCTTTTACCAATAATCCCAGTAATCCAATAAATCGTGGAGAATACTTTATCATAGAAAACAGTGGAGATCATCTTGAGTCTTGAATGAAACTTTGTGAATTGATGAACAAAGCACAATTAATTGATTAATTTAATGTACAATTGTCAGAAACTCATAAACACAGTTAACAGATTGATAGAGAAAACGAAAAAGGCATATTTTATTCGATTCAAAAAAACCCAAACCCATCCAAATGGCTAAAAAAAGACACACAAAAACTGAAACTCATCAAATTTCTCAACTTTTACTTTGTTTTTTAATTACTTACTTTTCTATAATCACCTCTAATTTAGCGTGAGAGTGTCTCAATAAATTCTTGAAAAGAAAAATTTAAATTTCAATGCTTTCTCTCTATTATTTTCAGGCTTATACCTTGTTATAGAATGACGAATAAAGTAAAGAAATGAATGGAAATGGCAATGAATGGCAATGAATGGCAATGAATGGCAATGAATGGCAATGAATGGCAATGAATGGCAATGGCAATGGCGCAATAGCAATGGCGCAATAGCAATGCCGCAATAGCAATGGCGCAATGGCAATGGCAATGGCAATGGCAATGGCAATGAATGGAAATGGCAATGAATGACAATTTGGAAATTTGGAATTGAAACCTCGATCTTCTGCCTAACAATGATATAGCTATCAACGCCTTCTTTCAGGCTAATATAAACTTGCTTATTAGGTTAAACTGAAGCTAGCAAATCGATTGTATCGCTTTGTATCTGATCCAATCTATGTAGCCTTTTTTCGTAAAACTTAAATACTGTTTTGAATTTGAAACTACTGACAATACTTATTTTCACAAGAAGAATTTCAAGATCTTCTAGATCATTTCAAGATCTTCTAGATCATTTCAAGATCTTCTAGATCATTTCAATCTTTTGAGGTCATTCTTTAGACAAAGAACAGTTACTTGAGAGAAGAGTGAACTGAAAGAAAAAGTGGAAACGAGACAAAAAACGTTCGTTTTCTTCGAACTTGCACTTTTTGAAATGGTAGTGAAACGGTTTCTTTTTCTTCTTATAATTAGAAACAAGACAGTGACTAGTTACTAGAAGAACGAGAGACAGTGAACAAGACAGTTACTAGAAGATAGAAAGAAGCGAATCACTTTCACTGAGTTTTTTTTTTCCACTGTCAAGCTAGGCTTTTTACTCTTTTCATTTTTGGTCTATAAATTTGTTTCCAAATTTATGGAAACATCAATCAAAAATTGAAACAATCTATACCAAAGGGATTTGCCAGAAGACAAGCGACTACCCGGTGACACAAAGAACAAAGAAATCTTTTCTACATTTCTTCTTTTTGCTAGCTTGTTGAATAAAGCTTGATCATTTTTTTTTTCTGTAGATATGCTAATGATTAAGTCATCCATTGATCTATTACTTTAAATAGAAGACTTTTCTATTGGAAACTCTTTTGAAGCTCTTTTTCATGTAAATTCAAGTAAAAAAACTACCGTTTTTTGCACAAAATTCGATACAAAGCTCTATAAAGAAATCTCGGTTGAACAGATTTTTCTGAAATTTTGATTATATACTCAACTTTTTATGCTCTATCTTTTATCTATACACATCAAGAGAGGTTTCTGCTGACGAAAGTGCATAAATCGCGCCTTTTTTTAACTACCCAACTTCGTGCACTCATAAAAAACCAGAGACTGAACATTTACGTAATATTTGAACAATGTTTTGTAGAAAAATAATTGTATTTTATAATAAAGCAAACCGTAGATCAATTGGTGAATAGGTTTTTTTAAAAAGAAGTTTTAAAAATGCTTAAATTTTTGGGGATTTTTTTGCGAAAATTTTGTCTTAAATTTGGCAGTATTTTTGATGAATTTTATGTAAATTCTGTTATAAAATAGTAAAAATAAAGTCATTTTGAAGAAGATTGCAAAAGAAAACTTAATTGTTAGATAAAGCAAGACTAACTAAAGCATTAAGTAAGTACAGTACTGAACAATGAAATATGATATTTGAAAAACGATCGTCACTTTCGCGCGTCTGTAACTCCGTTGTCTTTGAGTTTAAACTATTAGTGTTATACGTTTTCTGAAAGCTGAAAGCTCTTTTATTAAAAAATAGAGTTAAATCCCTAAAAAGGCAGGATTCGAACCCCTGACCCGAGATCCAGGGGCCACCGCTCTACCGACTACACTATAGAGACACGCTGACTTGCTTTATGCAAGCCATTATAGCCAGGAGTACCAAGCACCAATGAAATCTCTTGAGATGAGATCCTAACGAATACTGTAGCTGGCTCTAATCTTGATCTAACCCTAGCCTGGCTATGGCTTACAACTACAGTACTGGACAATGAAATATGATATTTGAAAAACGATCGTCACTTTCGCGTGTCTGTAACTCCCTTGTCTTTGAGTTTAAACTATTAGTGTTATACATTTTCTGAAAGCTCTTTTCAATGGCTACACAATGGTAATATTAATATTTACAAATACGGTAAAGACAAGGGAGTTATAGACGCGCGAAAGTGATGATCTTTTTTCAAATATCATATTTCATTGTTCAGTAGTGTAAGTAAACATGAGGAAAAGTTACTTTCAAATTGGAAAAGTGACAAAAGTGGTGTCAGCTTTAGGATTTCGAGTAAAATTGCTAAAAGTGCTTTTTGATTTCATCGCTATTTGTAATTGAGTAAAGTAACAGGTTCAGCTTTCTTTTTGTAAAGTTTTTTCTCTTCGTTAACGCAATTTTCTCTTCGATCCGATTCCATCAAAATTTCCCATTAATCCCCGAGTCGGCAACATGAAAAAAGCACAAAAAAAATCGAAAAATTTTTCTCAGAACTTTAACACCAACATTTCCAGAGGAAGAGTATACAAAGAATTTAAGGTTTTCATGAAATTAAGTCACGTTTTTCTTGTAAGAACTGTTGGTTTTTCTTGTAAGAATTAACTTAAACATTAATCCCTTGAATTCAAAATTCAAGGGATTAATGTTTAAATTTGTTTTTATCTTTAAAAGCACTAGGGGTTTTTTTACTTTTTCGGGATTGAATTTAAGCAATTTGTTGAACGATTTTTAGTCATTCTTGATGACGAAAAGGATTCAAATTGATTCAATTCAATTGATTCAAAAAAAAAGACGACTTTTTGATTTTATAACATTTACATTTTTAGATTATATAAAAAGGAATTTAAAATTTATTTGTAAAAAGATGGGAGTGGGAGTGGGATTTTGTATTAGGTTCATAACTATTTGTGCTCATGAGGGGAGTGGGACAAATGCGACCTTTTTTTTGTGCACCCGGACATTTGCGCACCTTTTTTTCCACACCTTGCCCATTAGCGCACCTTTTTCGCGTTTTAAAAAGCTCTAAAAAGCTAATATTAACCAATTTCTATTCCAAAAGTTGTTTTTCTAGGTAATTTTAGGGCGTAGAATCGAAATTTTGGCATATCAGAGCTTGTGGAAGCGAACGGACGGAGTTATACAAAGAGAAAAATCAACAATTTTCTGTAATTTGACCTAGCCGTTTTGTCTTTCAAATTGGTTCCACACGCTCTGTTATGTCAAAATTTCGAATTCGATACCCCTAAATTACCCAGAAAAACAACTTTTGGAATAGAAATTGGTTCTGCTATTCAGCTTATTCAGTTATAAGTTGATTCGATTTTCTGCCCAAAAATTAATTATCTCATTGTTAGTGTACTTTATGCTTAAAACTCTGAAGTACATTTATCTTTAAGTACAATCTTTAAGTACATTCAAGTACAATAATACTTTATTAAAAGAAATCAGTGTGCTAGAAAGGTTGTGTTTTTGCACAAGTAAATCGAAAAGAGAGTGTTGTGATGTGTATGAAAATGATTTCAAAAGCAAACGACCGTAAATACTGTAATAGTACCGCACACTTTAATAGGGAAGAAGACCAAATCAAAGAAGCGTATTCAAGAATAGGGCGGAAAATAATTTAATATTAAAATACCGCAAAGACTGTAATAGTACCCCATCGTACAGTCGCGTAGTCGCAAAAGTTTTTTAGTATTTCATTTGCAAAGCGCCTGTACTTTCAAAAAATGCGTCTTTGGTATCAAAAAATAGCCCTGAATTTCAGCTATTTTTTGATAACAAAGCGCGCATTGTAGCATGAACCAGTGTCGAGAAAAACTCGTTCAAAGCTAGACTACGCAACACTTCGCACCGTCATTATGGGGATGGGGTACTATTACAGTATTTACGGTAGGTGTTTTCTTTGTGCTCAACACAGAGAAATGCACCTTCTCTGATGCACTAAACTCTTTTTTTACACCTTCAAATTGTTACCAGTGTCGAGTGTCGAGAAAAAAACCAGAGCCGAGAATAACTCGTTCAAAGCTAGACTACGCAACGCTCCGCACCGTCATTATCTTTGGCATCAAAAAAGCGTCTTTGGTATCAAAAAATAGCCCTGAATTTCAGCTATTTTTTGATACCTAAGCGCGCATTGTAGCATAAACCAGTGTCGAGAAAAATTCGTTCAAAGCTAGACTACGCAACGCTCCGCACCGTCATTATGTGCGGTACTATTACAGTATTTACGGTATTTTATTAAATGATTGATCAAAGATTGAATTGATTCAAAGATATTAAATTTATTAAATACTATTTTATTAAATGATTTAACTTTTAAGCAACAGTTTAATAACAACAAAGACCAACAAATCAACGTTTTTTTATCAATCTTTTCTTTTGCAATTTATCACTTTTTTTTTCCTGTACAGGTGTTCAACAAAAATCAGCTTACATAGAAATTTTGTGCTCAATTTTTTGTCTAATTTTCATATTAAATTAAAACCACCTTCATAACAAAGCTTCACTCTGTACTTACTGACCACACACGTAAAGAAATAAAAAAAATAGCATATAAACAAAAGATTTGCGGTTCTTTGTCATTTACTCAAAAAATGAAACCGGTATAATGTAAATTAAAGGCTAATTTGTTAATGAATCAAGCTTTCCGGGTGTAAAAAAAAGACCAATTTTTGCCTCTGAACTTGCGGTGTAAAATTCGCACCGCAAAATTCAGCAGCGCAATTTTCGTGGCGCGATTTACGCTTCTGGTTCGTCGGCGCAAAATTCGTCGGCGTAATTTTCGCTTCTGATCTTTCGGCGCAAATTTCGCAACGTGAAATTCAGCAGCGCAATTTTCGTGGCGCGATTTACGCTTCTGGTTTTTCGGCGCAAAATTCGTCGGCGTAATTTTCGCTTCTGATCTTTCGGCGCAAATTTCGCAGCGCAAAACTCAGCAACGCAATTTTCGTGGTGCAATTTAGGCTTCTAGTCTTTCGGCGCAAAATTCGTCGCAAAATTCGCAAAATTTTCGCAGCGCAACCGTGATGGTCCCTTAAAATCAGTCTTTTTTCCATATTTCCAATGGTGATCTGATTTAAGCAATGTGTTGAGCGATTTTTAGTCATTCTTCAGTCACTAACTTTTAACTTTAATCCTAAAAAGTTTAACAACCAAAGGCAAGTCTATCAAATTAAAATTCTACAATATTGATTTTTTTCTTGGTTTGATTTGAAATTTTGAAATTTCTGTTTTCAAAATAGATTTCTAACTAATTAGCGAATGAAGAGTCAAGCTTTTAAATGCAAATTTCTTCCCGAAACCATTTTCAAAACCAGATCCGATACCGATATTTTCTTCACCAATTTTCACATTTAACTAAAATCAGCGCAATTCTTTCCTCAATCTTGGCTAGGATCAATCGCCAAAATGAGACAGCGAATGAAAAAAAACTCGAACCGAAAAAGTCGGAAGAAATGCCTGAGGGTGAGCTCTTTTTTTCTATTCTCAAATCATCCAAACGACGACAGAAAAACCCGATTTCTCTTAGGGGAAAAAGAAAAGGCAAAAACTCGCGAAAGTATTGAAAATTCTTTCAAAACATAGCCACTTTACTTACAAAATATTCATTAGGATTTGGTTTGGAAAAAAAGTGAATTTAATTAAGCGAGTTTTTATTGGAATTGCCCGAGTGGTAGAGTCTTTTCTTTTGGATTTTGTTAGAAGTTAATTGCAAGTTTCTGTTTGTTTTTTAGAAAAACATTAGTAAATTGAAGCCAAAAAATGTAAAATTGATCACGTTTCATTGTACCTACCTGGAAGAGTCGATCAACTTAGATGATCGACATCTAAGTTGATCGACTCTTCCAGGTAGGTACACATTCAAAAACGTTACTATTTTGCACCAATGAACTTTTCTTAGCTTAGTTGTCTTAGTGATTTAAACTCAAACTTTTTAATCTTTTCCTAGATGCTTGAAACATTTTCGACGTTTTCAAAGAAACTAGTCTTTATTTTAATCAATGTTTGCTTTGCTTTGATGTTAGTGTCTAGTGTCTGCTTTAGTGTCTGCTCAAATTATATTAGTGTCTGCTCAAACTGATCTCTTGACTCTTGTTGATTTCAAGTCACTGAGTTTTTAAAAAGCATTCTCTAATCCTATAAATAGATTAGATCCAATCAAATTACTAGATCTATAATTAACCCGACAAACTTAAAGTACCGTAGACTTACAGTAAACTTGGAGAGTTTTCCATTGAACAAGTTCACTATCAGATCTATCCATGAACTAAATAGTAGACATTATTAGCCATGTCTTGTATCTAAGTACGGTAATCATGCCTACAAAAAGTTCTACATTAAAATACTAATCTTTAACGCGCTACAATCCAAAAAGTATCAAAAAAACCAATATCAATTAAAAACTATAAGTTTCCTATCTTTCTTGAACGTTACTAAACACCTCATTTACTAGACAGCACCCAAAAATCTCAGAACATTCTCAAAAGAAGAATTTGAAAGCCTCATTCAAGTTTTTTTTCATTTCTCTTTTGTTCTAAAAGACAAGAGAATGAAAAAGTGCGTGTAATGTGCATTCTCTAATGATTTCTAAAGAGAACGAGTTGTTGGAGAGAGGGAACTCCTCCCTTGAACGGTAACCCCTCCCCCCAGCACCACCCCCATATAAAGGCACTCAAAGCTCTGAAACCTCAGCTGTCGTTTCATCATGACGTCGGCCTCTTCACTTTTTGTCCCTATCGGGGCGGGAGCTTGTCTCCTTGCCGTTATGACGGCTCTCATCACTATCGGATCCATCGTCAACGACATTGACTCGATGAGAGACGAGATCCTCTCCGGAATGACTGAGTTCAAGGTGAGACTAGAACATTCATCAAAATCTCAGTAGAACTCTAGTTAGTGGATAAGTCTAATGGTAAAGTAAAGTTTTCAAAGCTCAACTAGACAATTTAGTCCGTCTGAACTTTGATATTACATAATTCTAATGTTTAGCGTTATTCTAAGCATCTTAATAAGATTTAACTGTATTGTTAAAAGAAAATTCTAAAATCCTATTTAGGTCACCGCCGATGATACGTGGGAGCGCCTGCTCACTGTGCAAACTGCCCCATCAGGAAAGACGGACGCGTCACCGGCTTTCGCCACTTTCGTTCGTGAACGCCGTATGGCTCGCCATCGCCGTGAGGATTATGGACAATGCCAGTGCCACGCCAAATCCGCTGGCTGCCCAACTGGACCCCCAGGACCACCTGGTTTCCCCGGACCTCGCGGAGACCAAGGACCCTCTGGAGACCGTGGACGTGACGGAACTCCCGGAGTTGTCTTGGCTGTCACCTTTGACTTCCCTGGCGGTTGCATTCAGTGCCCAGCTGGCCCACCTGGCCCACCTGGAGACGATGGAGCAGAAGGGTTGCCCGGATTTGACGGTATGCGCGGAGAGTGCGGAGCTGCTGGACTCGATGGAGAGTGTGGAGCGCCAGGACCCGAAGGAGAACAAGGACAACCAGGAATGCCCGGATTCGACGGATTCGAGGGACCAACTGGACAAGACGCTTACCAAGGAGCCCCCGGAGAGGCTGGACCACAAGGAGATATGGGAGCTCCAGGAGAGGAGGGACAACCAGGTCTTGCCGGAGAGAAGGGAACCGACGGAACTCCAGGAACCGATGGACCACTTGGACCCTCCGGAAGAAAGGGACAAGACGGACAGAACGGACTCGATGGACTCCCAGGAAAGAACGGAGACCACGGAGTCGATGCCAACTACTGTCCTTGCCCACCCAAATCCAATGACGCTCCACCACCAGCACGCCCACAAGCGCGACCAGCTCAGCGAGGAGGTCAACAGCGACCCGCACCCACCCCAAGCCACCATCAACCCCCACCACCACAGCAGAGCTACGGAGCCGCCGCTTCGCCAAGAAACGAGGACGGATACGATGCTCCACGTGTCCCACAAGACTACGCACACCCAGCCGCCGCTCAGCGACAAGACTACGGTGGCTCAGCCGCCCCACCACAGTCGGGCAGCTACTACCGCCGTCGTCGCTTCCAGTAACTTCCAATTCAATTTAAGTTATGAAATAAATATGTTATCGGTAAAATTATTCAAAATGCAAAACAGAAAATGCGACCGTGTGTGGGGTGAATTGTGGCGTTTTATAGTCTCCACTTTGGTCCACTTTGGTCTTAATATGCATGAGAAAATCTCAAATTGTGCTTGGGTTTGTCTTTGAGCCAAATCAAGTAGGAAAATTGCAGCAAATTATCTGGAGAAAACCCACGCAAAATTTTGCATGTTTTTTGAACTCCGAAAAAACTGAATGATGCGGAGCCACGTTGGCCTTTTCAAAATTTATTTCAACTCATGAAACACACAACCAATCTAAAGTAAAATCTTTTTTAGAAGAGGGAAAATATAAGAAAAACATTTTATTCACCAAAAATCTCAATTTAGCAGAGAAAAGAGGGGTGGATAAGAGGAAGAATTGGGTTAATTTTGATGACAATGCTTTTGATTTCATTGGGCACTTCTAAAAACACGCAACTCTTCTCAAATCCATAAAGAATATAGCAGAAAAGGCAGAATAAAAAGAGGAACCGAAAAAAAGAATAGAATAAAGGCTCTTCTACATAGAGAAATTTGGGGAACAAGAAACGGGGAAACACAGAGCCAAAAAAACAACATTTTGAGGAGGGGGATGGGGGATAAATTCACGTACTCAACCATTTTTGCGGTCACTCCAAATTCACTGGCCAAATGAATAGGCTTTTTGTATGAGGAGAGAGGCTCCAAACCTTTGAAGGGGGATATCGCCGCATAACCAAAGAAACACCCATATCTCGGGAATCAATTTTGCAAAGCAAATTGAATAGAACAACAAACCTTATTAAGGTGTAAAATAAACGGGGAAGATGGTTTGATTGCAAATGAAACAAAAAGGGCTTCAGCGGTTTTCAGGGAAACATTCGATGGAGCTTTTTCATAATACTGGTATGACCAATTGCAGAACATTTTAGAAGTCAAAAGGGAAAACGGAGCCGCTCAATGAAATGCCGTAAAATCAAAACTTTTACTTCGATCATTTCACCTTTTCTGTTAGAAAACGTTTTAGTCATCGGCATTTCTTTGAAGGGCTCCAGGATAAACACATGTGTTGGAAAAGAAAAGCCTGAGGTCAGTTTGAAGAATGAATGGAACTTTCCCGATATATCAAAAAACGATTCGGCTAGGGGAGCGGGGGTAGGAAAATTTGGGCCAAAACAGTGAACAAGCGAACCGGGATTTATTCAGGCCACAATGGTGGATATCTCGATTAGATCCTTACCATAAACACAAAAACTGTATTACACAATGAAAAATAACGGTTGTTGGTAAGGACCTGTTGGTGACTATTTGAAGCGGATCTGAAACTTGAGTAAATTTAAAAGTTTGGTCAACTACTTCAAATAGCCGCAACATATCTAACAAATAGAGGAAATCGAAAACTCGATCGCCGGGTTTAAGTACTCAAACATTGTTTATTGGAAAACAGGAAAAAATGGAATATTTTTTATGGAAGGGTGCAAAGGTAACACTTGGAAAAACAAAAGGTTTACTTGTTTTGGCGCAGACCCATATCGATTATGGCGTTATTCCACATTGTTGAATTCATGGGTCGGTGAGTTGTTGTCTTGAGCAGCAGGGCTAGCCTAAAGAATAGTGTTAACAAAGAAATGGTTTTAAAAAGCAAACGTAATAACATGGTCAATAAGTGTTAATATTTTAAACTTACCAGGTGCATATTTTGACTCAATTATCCAAACATTTACCTGTTTATCATCCGTGTTTGATCTCTCATGAGTTTGTGAGCTTTCCGAGGCCTCGTCTCCATATCGTTCTTCGCCATCATCTTCTCCATCTCCATCCCGATCCTCTGGACGATATCGACCTCCTCTTCCTCTTGCCGCCATTCCTCCCCTACCACGAGTACGTCCGCGCATCATTGAAGCCATTTGATAGTCCTAAAATTATATATTAAAACTCTAAAGGAATTAGATACCATAGGTGGCATCGGCATTGGGAAAGGACCAAAGAGATTGGCATCCAGCCAGCTGTTACGGAATCTAAAAAAAAACCAAAAATTGGTGTGAAAGAAAGTTAAGACCGACCTTTGATCTTGCGATTGATGTCCAGTCATCATGCCCGGCATTGGGGCACCAGGAGGCAAGTAGTGTGGTGGAATAGGCATTAGTCCTTGTGGTGCTCGTTGATACATTCCCATTTGTTGTGGTAGCATTGCCTGAGGAGTGCCGCCTTGCTGCATTCCCAATCCTCCACGACCACCCATTCCTCCGCGCATTCCACCCCTCGATTGTCCACCGTCACTCTGAACATTTAAATTATAACCTATCAAGAAAATAAAACATTAGATTACTGTTTAAATGATACACCTCTCCATTCTGCATTGGTGGTCGTCGCTGTCCGTTGTTGAATCGATTGTCGCGTTGATTCTAAACAAAAAAAAAGTAATTTCTTTAATTTTGACTGTAAGATCTTTAACAACTTTGTATAACGGGTACAAAGTACAACTGTGTGACAAGTTTCGATTGTTCATCAAACTAGCATAAGATGTCACTTAATGCTATACATTTGGTTGCTAAATATTTACCTCGTCACCATCTCGCGGTCCTCGTCCCAGAAATCCACCACGGAATCCTCCGCGACCTCCTCGGATACTGCCACCGCGTCCTCCTCGCTCACTCTCTTCACCTCGTTTCTCGAAGCGTGGATTCTCGGCTCGTTCTTTGGCTCCTTGAGCGCGTTTGAGACGCTCCTCCCATGTGAGGTCTTTGGCTGGAGCCTCTAGTTGTCGTTTCTCACGTTCTTCGCGCTTCTTGTCTTTGTTCATTCTCTCGTTCGCTTGATCCAAACCGGGCCACTGCTAAATTTCAAAATAAACACCTAAGGCAAATAAGTGAAAATCCGATTGAGTTTCTTCTGTATATTGCGAAAGTTTGTTTGTCTCCATTGTCGTATCAATATAAAACCGTTTCGGAAAACAAACAGCTTGATTGGTGAGACTCGTGTTGTGCTGTGGTTGTGGGTCAATTTGTCCCCAGGCTCCGGGTGGATTATCATAGGACTAAAAGTTGTTTGATGGCTATGTGGCGGACTAGAGCAGTTGGATAGTGTCTGAAAGGAGGCCCAACCTGTTGATCATTGATGTTCATCTTGCTGAATTGATCCATCGTCTGTCCATATGGATTCGAACCACCCGAAGTCACTCCGCTGTCACCGCCCTATATTAATAAATTAAATGCACTTTCACTAGAAGCGGTTTAAAAAATGATTTAGGTGCTAAATTTACCTGATCAGGATTATTCCACTGGCCAAAGTCACCAACTATTTGAGGAACCCCGGGAGTCGCCTATAAAATCCAACTTTAATGAAACTTAATCAAATAACGTTCTAAAATTGATGCTTCCGGGCACATAATACTCTTTTTTCCACAATTCCACAAATTGATAGAGATGCTTTGCATTAATATTGCAGCACTTATACACATTTGTGTAATTCGAGTGTTTGCTTTTTGTGGAAAAGAGTTTCATGTACATGATATGCACTCAAAACACGCCACGAGCAAGCGAGAGTCGCGCCAAGGAGGGGACTATCGAAGATTTTTGAAAAATGGTTCACTCACACACTACTAGCATTGTTTTGCTATGTACTGTTAGAAAGTGTAGATGATTAAAGATATCAACGATAGGGATTCCACCAAGCCAAGGGCTGCCTCTACGTCTCACCTCGGGCATGTCGTGCCGAATGCTCGACGTGGTGCTTACCCAAGAAGCCGTGTAAGCCATCGATGATTGAGCCGACGAGTCGTACGACATTCCAGTATCTAAATCAATTATTTTGATCGATTTTGTTTACATTCAATTAACTATCTTTCAACTTTAAAAAGCTACTTTGATAATCGTCCTTCCCAGGTGGAGGGCGACTAAAATTTGGCGGTGGAGCCACGGCATTAAACGAATTCATACGGCCGGCAGCTTGAGGATCCTAAATAATCAATAAACAAGATTATTGACTAGCAAAATACCTGTTGCACGTGATACCCGTAGAGTCCTTGTTGTGGCATCATGTATTGAGGAGCGGCGGCGTACGTTTGAGCCGTGTATCCCTAAAGCCACAATTACAAAACTTCTGTGAGCTTCAAAACAAACCTGAGGATATGCTGCCTGTCCCACATATTGTTGTTGACGATAGTAATCGGCCGAAGCGTCATATCCACCCTGAACCGCCGAGTATCCCGATGGCGCTTGATAGGCGGCTGCCTTCTCTGCATACGTTGACATCCCGCTTGCCTAAACTTTGTCTAAATTTTATTTGAAAGATAGTCGTTGCTGCTTTCTAACTCTAAAATACTACATTTTTATTAAAGTTTGTAAAACTAAAGCTACGATTTTCATAAACAAAAACACTTACTTTAAATCCCAAGTGCTCTATCAAGTTGGTCCAAGATCGAGCTTTCAAACGAGGGCCACCTCCCAACGATCGATGCCCTGAAAAGAAAACAGTTAGCAGATAATTGTCAAAAATCGATAGCCAAAAAGATAAGCGAGATAAAAGTGGCAGATGTTTGATCAATCAAGGGGATGAGAACAAAACGCATGACAGAGTATGACCTCAATCGGAGCTTTTTCTTAAAAAAAACCGAACGGATTAGGAGTAGCAACAAAGGATTACTTCTCGAGGAAAACGAGGTGAAAAACTTTTTTGTGACCTTCTAAAATTAGCCACTGATATGTCATATTTTAGGAAAGCGTCAGCATTGTTCAAATTTCGCGTCAACACTTTTCATCGAAACGGTGCGAAAACGATATTGAATTTGTTGAAAATTAAAGAGTGTTTGACTTGGATCAACGGTCGCGCAAAAGGTATCAGGTGAGTGTTGCTGGAAAATTGATTCGGGGTTTTTCGCTTGCAAAAAGACCGGGAGAAAATCCTTAGGCCGAGGCCGGATCACAGAGCTGGCGCGCCACCAAATTTGTTGGCGTCTTTTCTGTGCGCGCCTTTTCTCTCTGTTCACCCGTTTGTATTTCGAAGTTTTGGCGAGCACACAGACCGAGATAACATGAGATAACAAACGGGTGCCATTTAACAATCGAAGGTAAACGTTTAGGTGGGGGAATGGATGACGAAAATTGTGAATCAGCGTTAATTGCGTAACGACAAACTGAAAATCTTTGCTTGCGTGCATTAAATACTATTACATTTCACTAAATCAAGATATTTAGTTGAATGACTGTTACTGTTGATTTTAAAGGCTTTAAGTATAAATGTTGCTTGATTTATCGATATTTATGGGGGTGGGACAAATGCGACCTTTTTTTGCGCACCTGGACATTTGCGCACCTTTTTTTGCTGGAAAAGGCCTTAGGAAAGGTCGTAGAGCTTCAAAAACGTTTTCACGGAAGGGAATCGTATGCGTAGATTCAGAATTTTGACAAATCAGACCTCGCTGACACGTCAAATTTGGGCTAAAAGGCAAAAACTGCGGAAAAGCGTTAAGTTGCGTAGTTTTTGCCTTTTAGCCCAAATTTGACGTGTCAGCGAGGTCTGATTTGTCAAAATTCTGAATCTGCGCATACGATTCCCTTCTATGAAAACATTTTTGAAGCTCTACGACCTTTCCTAAGGTCTTTTCTAGCAAAAAAAGGTGCGCATTTGTCCCACCCCCATAAATGATGCTTTATTCATCGGTATTTATTATAAAGTTTTAGAAAATGGACGCGATTTGGAGGCTAGATGAGGAATTGAGTGTAGCTCTTCGATTGGATCCACCAAATAGAGACTATCTGTTCATCATCGAGTGGTTTGTTCCATGCCTGTCACTTTCTGCATTTTAGCAAACAATCTTTTGTTTTATAAAACTGTGAAAGGAAAACTTTAGAAAACAAAAGTACATATATAAAAGTATATTTTCTAAACATAAACTTGTTAAAATGACACCAAGATTTTAAAAATATGACTAGAAAATTGGGAATTTAGGCTTTTCCATGGAGTTCCCTGGATCGGTGGCTCGTTTCTCTGGGCAGCTGCAGCAATCGGCGGCAAATGGCCAAATGATACTCAAGATAAGATCATCCTGCTCAATATTGGTAAATATTAGTAATATGGGTCATAAGCACAAATTAATCAATTACAATAATCACCTTTTTTAGGTCTTTTCCTGGATTTGTTGATCTCGGGTGCTCTGAAAATTTTCGTTCAACGGCCACGTCCCCTTCACAATCGAGAAGATTTTGTAAGAAACTTCAAAAAATTTCAAAATTCAAGCCATTTCAGAGATACGGTGCTCCGATTGCTGATCAGTTCAGTTTTCCCTCAGGACATACGACAAGAGTCGCCATGTTGGCCAGATTACTGTAAGGTTTTCCTATAAAAACAGAATTTTCTTTAAAGAATAAACAATTTGAAAGCGAAATTTAGGGAAACCCTCGTGTCAATGGATCCAATTTTGAATAAATTAATGTGGCTTTTTGTGGGATGTGTCGCCGTTTCAAGAGTGTCAATGGGAAGACACCATCCAACGGATGTGATCGCCGGTTTGTATCTTAAAGAGAAACGCATTTATTTCCGAATTAACCCTAAACCTGCCAAAATAGCAAAAATCAAATTTTCAGGAGTTCTTATCGGGATTCTCGAGGCCTACATGACACTAGCGATGCCACTCGGGCTACGAAGAGGGCTCATTCGAATTTTTATTTAAAAACGCTTTACGGGTAAAATAAATAGCAACAAATCTTGTATAAAACATGAAAAAAAAGAATGTCGCTAAAACAACAAAAATCGATATCATTTTTAAGAAATTTGGGAATTTATTGAGTGGAAAGCACTTTATCCCTTAGATTTATTCAATACAAATCTCACTGTTGCTCTTATAGAGTACCTCTTTTATCTCGAATTGTATCTCCTTTCTAGACTGTGCTCGGTAATGTCTAGAGCTTAGGTCTCACAATCCTTTCTTGTAATATATTCTCTTGTAGATGTCTGTAGATGAATTACTCAGGTTTTCCTAGGTTTAAATAAGCTCTTTTATTCTATTCAATCTTATATTCTTACATGATACAAGATATGTGATGTAATTCATCTACAAACTTACACTTAAGACAATAAAGTATTCACAGACGTTTAATCTAAACTGTTATACAGAGATTGAAAGGTTCTGGAGAACTACTTCTTGAATTGGATTTGATTTTAGTGTAATTAGATTTTGTTCTCTTTACTCCACAAAAGGGAAACTCTAGCTTTGGTCCAGCTTTGGCCCAGCTCTGACCTAGCTTTGGCTCAGCTTTGACCCAGCTTTGGTCCAGCTTTGGCCTAGCTTTGGCCTAGCTTTGACCCAGCTTTGGTCTAGCTTTAGCCCAGCTTTGCCCCTTCATCACAATACGATTTGGGATTTATCCTTTTAACTAAAGTTTTCTAAAGCATCTCACCTTTTGAAAACTATCGTAGCCTCAAATTTTATCCAACTACTTTTTATATTTTCATTACTGTAACCCTCAAATCAAAGATAGAATGAATAGAAGCTAGAAACGATTACGATCGTTATCTAAAGCTGAAACACTGTAGAAAACTCATTTGTTAACTAGTGTCTACCTACAGAGTAACTACAGAGTAACTACAGAGTAAGTTTTAAACCCTTTTTGCTCTAAACCAAACATCACTAAATTCCGCATGTTGTGTTTGCGAAGAAAAATGTTCACTGTTGTAAGAAAAGAGGGAAGAAAGGAAAGGGGGGAAGAGCTATTTATTGAGAAGGACACCGTTTGGATGAAGTATCGAACAGCTGGGTCAAATCATTCCTCAAATCTTTACCCGACATTCCACTGAAAAGTTGATTTCAAAGAAAAACTATAAAAATGAATGATGGATCTACAGCAGTCTCGTAAGTAACAGCTTAGATTTGTTTTTTTCAACTTTAGAAGTGTTTCGAGATGCTTTTGTTAGCACAATGCCTTTTTTTTCTAAAATGATTCAATTGTTGGTTCTGATAAACAGAATTGATTAGAGATTTTGCAGATATGACATCATGTTTTTTCTCTAATAGCTTTATATTTAATTTATGCTAAGATGTTTACACATAAAGCTATTATGAATTGAAATCTTGTCGAATTGTCATTGTCATTGTCATTTTTATCACTTGAGCCAACTCTGATTGTAAGTTCTAACTTTACTTCTTACTAAGTTCTCTTACTTAAGCTTCTCTTACTTAAGCTTCTCTTACTTAAGCTTCTCTTACTTAAGCTTCTCTTACTTAAGTTCTCTTACTTATTTGAGGATTGAAAAATTTAATGTATAACCTAAATACTAGTACTTTTAGTTACCCAACCAATTTAACTTGTAGATTGACTTATTGCTAGAGAATTGTTCTTTGAGTTTTAGTGTCAACGCTCGCAGAAGGTTTTCAAGAGTTGGTTTAATTACCCAACTTCATGAAAGTATATATAAGCTGTCAATCTGGCAATCTTATAGCTTTTAAAATATCTGTTTTGATCATAAACTAGTTTCTCCTGAAAGTTGCAGAGGTTATCTTTATCTTTAAAGAACTCAAAGTATTAATGAAAGCCATAGTTTCAGAGATAAAGATTTTGATTTCCTAGCTTTCTCTGGAATCTTTACCGTAATCCATCTCTCTTCAAAGATCAGCTAAAAGGTGTCAAGATTGATATCCGTCCAAGGATGAATTTCCTGCATAAACCTAGGTTGGAGGGATAGAGGACCGGAAATTGATGAGAGTGTCGAATCAGCGGCTTTACATCAAAAGGGAGAGCTTCAAGTTGGCAAATGAGAGTACTTAGGAAAGGAGAAGGGGTGGGTAAAGAAGAGATGTCTCTCTATGACAAAGCTTTCTATCATTAGCGCTTCTCCCAGCTTCTCCCAGCTCTTCCACTCGCCAAAATCTCACTTTATGACCCCAAAGAGGAAAAGAACATAAAGAAAAAGGGTTAAAGAATGCTAGACAAGAGCATAGAAATAAGGAACTCTTGCAAGAGTCTACAGATTTCTACAGTATGTTGAAGTTGAATACCTTTCAAATGATTTACTTATATTTCATAAGTTTATATGAATACTTAACTTTGGCGTAGTGTAACGTAGCTTTAACAGTATTAAAAAAAATGTTTGATTTGACTTAATCACATTCTTAATAAGTTCATTTTCCTAAGAAACAGATATAAGATGTTTTTGAGTTATTTGTTAATATTTGTTAATTGTTTGTATTTGTTTCAAAACTACAGGGTGCGTCATAATTATTGCAACAAGAGTTCAAAGACCGTTTTCCAAACAGCTTTCTTATTTGTTGCGTTCTATCTTCTTTATTCTTGCCTAATTGCCTCCCGGTCACACGAAGAAGACGGTTCAGGACTGGTGTGTGGCCAACTTTCCCTCAGTGATCACCAAGAATGAATGGCCTCCAAACTCACCGGATCTCAATGTGATGGACTTTTCCATTTGGGCAATCTTAGAGGCTAATGTCTGCTCTTTGACCTTGAAGAAGTCTTTGACCAAAGGATGGAAGGCGATTCCTCAAGATGACATTCGGGCCGTAGTGGAGGCATATCCGAACCGATTAAGGGCTGTTATCAAGGCAAAAGGCGGTCATATCGAATGATCTCTTGTTTCCTTATTTGTTACTGTTAAATAAAGCTATTTCTGTCTAAAAATCTTCTTCCAGTGAAACTTCTTGGTGTGCAATGCCTTGAGTATTTTGTTGCAATAATTATGACGCACCCTGTAAATTCAAAACTAAATCTGTAAAGAAAAGGAGTCAAATGTGTAAAGAAAAAGAAACCAAATCTGTAGAGAAACAGAACCAAATCTGTAGAGAAACAGAACCAAATCTTAAGAGAAAAGGAACCAGAGAGAAAAGGCTGTAGAGAAAAGGCTTTATTTTGAAAATTTAGTTTTGAAACCCAAAGAAGAACTCATCAAAGCGTAAAGAATATGTAAACGTGGCTTTTTTCAAGTTAGAAAAACAAAATTTACCCATTGCACATGCATTGTTATAACTTACATTCCCTGTCTTTACAACTCTTCCCCGAACTCCACCATTAAACTAATGGACTCTCGCCTATTCTAGAAAATGAATAATCAATTTATTTTTTGAATTCAGAATCGTTTTTTCGGAAGTGTTCTCTGTTTTTCCATTGATTTATGAAAAGCTTTTCAAATTCGACCTTTCGCTAGAGAAGCGTCAAATATCCGTCGTCAAATCTGACGAAAAATCATCAGTTTCACCCTTCTTCTTTCAAAAATAAACAAAAATCCTTTAAAGTCTTAAAACTTGTCGCTCAAATAGATCTCTTATTTCAGATTTACATTGTCATCAAATAACATATCCCTACTGTAATACTACTGCTATTGTAATACTACTAACATATGCCTATTGTAATACTTTATCCAGCATCTTAAAGGCCATATTCTATAAACTTTCGAGACACAAAACTTTTCCATTTAACAATTTTTCAATCTTCTAGTTAAAGATAAGAGTTCTAAGATTATTATTGAGCTCTAAAGTTTAGTTCTTTTACCTAAAAAAGACAGTGAAATTGAGCGTGAAAAGGGATTGATCTTTGAAATAGGAAATGGTGAAAAAAAGATGAGATTGCACGGGGCGGAGCATGGGAACTTTGGAAGAAGACTCTTGTGATAGGAATGGAGGAAAGAGGTGATGAGAAAGGTGAAGGGGTGTCCAACTTTGAGACGCTTTTCTACAAGGAATCTCATTCCGTTTTGCATGTTATTCGAATCTTCAAGTCTGGAGTGCAGTTCTTTGCTTTGAGAGTGTCAAAGCTCTAGAGAATTTTCTGCTTTCTGATTTCTGCTAAATCTCTGAATTAAGAGTTTACTTTGCTACTGTTTTTCTTTGCTTTTGCTTCTCGTTTAAGGTTTTTATTCGAGTTTATCTAACTCTGGTTCTTTGGTTTGGTTTGAGGAACTCTTTATGAACCCAACTGTGACGGGAAATCATCAGTTTCAGATTTCTTCTTTCAAAAATAAACAAAAATCCTTCAAAGTCTTTAAAGGAGCTTTATAGGAACTAAATAGGGACTATAAAGGAGCTTTAAAGGCGCTTTATAGGAGCTTTCAAGGAGCTTCAAAGGAGCTTCAAACGAGCTTTAAAGGAGCTTTAAAGGAGCTTCAAAGGAACTATAAAGGAGCTTTGTAGGAGCATTAAAGGAGCTTTAAAAGCGCTTTAAAGGAGCTTCAAATGAGCTATAAAGGAGCTTTATAGGAACTAAATAGGGACTATAAAGGAGCTTCAAAGGAGCTTTAAAGGAGCTTTAAAGGAGCTTTATAGGAACTAAATAGGGACTATAAAGGAGTTTTAAAGGAGCTTTCAAGGAGCTTCAAAGGAGCTTTAAAGGAGCTTTAAAGGAGCTTTAAAGGAGCTTTAAAGGAGCTTTATAGGAGCTTAATAGGAGCTTTATAGGATCTAAATAGGGACTATAAAGGAGCTTTAAAGCAGCTTCAAACTTGTTGTTATTCGATTTTATCTGAGTCTGGTTCTTTGGTTTGGTTTGAGGAACTCTTTATGAAGTCTACTCTATTATTTCACCTAACTTTTTCTGTGTTATTTGTTATGTTTACATTCTTTCATCTAGCTTTTTCTCAAGTAACTTTTCACTTTGTATTATGCTTTTAATCTTGTCAATCTTTAAATAATTTATGTTAAACTAAACGTAATCTATCATCTAGTAACTGGATTTTTAATTTTCTTTAATACTTGACCTATTCAGCTCATAAATCACTAGATATCGAGAATTTAAAGTACAGGATTTGTTCTGTGAAATGTTGAAGTCTCTAGTTTTGTTAGAAAACATAATTCTTATTTGTAATAGTTAAAAAACAAGAATTGTACGAGGTTTTCTCAAAAGACTCTATCAAAACTTTCGCCTTTAAATCAGTAGAACGAAATTTCCGGATTAGAAATCGCTTTTGATCGTGTTACCCATCGAGCTGGCAGCCAATCCCATCAATTCTTTTCCTCAAACTCTTTCACAAACTTTTAGAAATGTATTGAATGGAAAAAGAATTCCCCTGACCATCTCATATTTTTGTCTTTCTCATAGTCTTCCCCTCCACTTCACCTCTATTTACTCACAAGCTTGCCCAAGCTCACAAAAAGGCCTCATTGACCTAAAGAATTGTAAAAGCCATAGTTCTTTGCTATAGTTCTTTTTCTTTTCACAGTTCTTTGCTCAAATCCAGACTTTTCAATAATTTTTGAAATTTTTCCTGATTATTCGCTTTTTGTTATCAGCTAATTGCATTGACGTGAATTTTAGAAAAAAGAAAAAAGGAGATATTTTTAAAATTTAGAGCCGTTCACAGACAATCAAGAGAGAGCAGCGAATTGAGGTGACATTTTGGGGAAATTCAAAAAAAGAGAGACGTTTTGGAGAAGATGCAATTGATCATTGCTACTCTACTCATTGGTCAGTGAACTTTTTGATGGATTTTGAAGTGAATACAATACTGGTAGCTTGACTTTAGCATAAAAGATATTCTCTTGGTTCTGCTAAGGGATAAATGACAAAGTTTCTAAAAAAAATTAAACGAAAATGGTTGAGTTTCCTTCACAGTTTACTTGTTCAATTTTTCTGTATGTTTAAGAATTTTATAGAGTCAGTAGTTTACAAAAAAAGTTTTAAAATATCTGTTTTTATCTTAAACTAGTTTCTCCTGAAAGTTGCAGAGGTTATCTTTATTTTTAAAGAACTCAAAGTGTTAATGAAAGCCATAGTTCTAGAGATTTGTGCATCTGGTTTCAAGTAGAGTTTCCTTCAAAGATATTTCGTTGGTTAGACAAATGATAACTTTATAATATTCTTATCATCTTATCACATTACATTGATCACTTCTTTACTTATATTTCATAAGTTTATATGAATACTTAACTTTGGCCTAGTGTAACGTAGCTTTAATGTCCAATATCTTGATGTCCAATATCTTAATGTTCAATATCTTGATGTCCAATAGATTAATGTTCAATATCTTAATGTTCAATATCTTAATGTCCAATATATTAATGTCGAATATCTTAATGTCCAATATCTTGAATCATTTGATTGAGTGTTAATAACGGAAAAATATATATACTTTTCTAATCCACCCCACAAAATTTGTTTATTGTGAAGGCTTTGCTTCAAAATCCAAGTCCAAAAAAACGAATCAAATTTTCCTTTTCAACTTTTCTGCGTTTTCTTGAAAAGAAAAATTTCAAGGAGCAAAAAAAGATGAGCTCAAAATTGACGGAGAGGCTCAAATTCAATTCCCCATTCATGACGGGATTTTGCGATTTGAAAAAAACTTTCAGAAAAAGAAGTATGACAAAGATCACACAAAAATTTTCATAGCAATAGATAGATAAAAATCTCAAGCTAAAATTTGAGATCTTTTAGGCTTTGCGTTATGTGGTGACAAATGGGGTTATGATGAGGATGATGGGCCGGCGAATTGGGAGGGATTATGTCAGGTTAATTTACTATTTACAGGTAATAGGTATTTTTTTTCGGAAATTATGTGAATAGGTCAAATAAATGCTTTAAAAAAAATGCCATACTTATAGCGTAATGATGAAAGTTTTTTGAAGCAATTAAATTAACCAAAAATCATTCAGTTAGGCAGTTGCATTTAGTAATTCGTATGTTTTAGTAGCTATATAAATTAGAGTGTGTTTCTCGCGATTAATACGTTTTTTAAAAAGGGCGCTTGTGAAAAATTACCATACTTTTGGCGAAAATTATTGGTAGGCTCATGTCCTGAATTTTTTTTTTGCGCAACTTGCCATAACTTTCTTCTAAGTGGGCCAATCTTTATGATTTTGATTTCATTTTGTAGATCTCAATAAGTGCAACAAGGACATTGCAATTTTCATTGACAAAGCGCAAAATTGGGGTAGGCTAATGTCCGCAAATTTTTTTGTGCAACTGGGTCGTTTGCGCAACTTGCCATAACTTTCTTCTAAGTGGGCCAATCTTTATGATTTTGGTGTCATTTTGTTGCAATTATTGAGATCTACAGAATGAAATCAAAATCATAAAGATTGGTCCAAGATTGGTAGAAGATTTAGTAAAGCTTCAATTTTATAGATTTCTAGGGGGGCAAGAAGTTGAGAAACCAAAAATGATAAACACACGTTGAAGCGATTTCAGCACTTTCTTCCACATAAACCTTTTTTGACGTTAATAGAAAAAAGATAGAGCATGAAAGGTTAGGCATATAGCCGAATTCTCGGGGTAGGCTAATTTCCGCAACTCGTCATACCTTTCTTCTTAGTGCACCAATCTTTATGCTTTTGGTTTCATTTTGTAGATCTCAATAAGTGCAACAAAATGAACCCAAAATCATAAAGATTGGTGGACTTAGAAGAAAATTATGACGAGTTGCGCAAAAAAAAAATTGCGGAAATTAGCCTACCCCAATTATTATAAAAAAATTGACGCGAGAAAATCACGAGCGCTGACTTATCTATGATTTCTTTTAAAGATATTCAACTGTTTAACTGATTTCGTGGCAAATTCTCTTCAAATGTAAAGATATTCAATTTACTCGGCGTGTAAATAGGATCACTCGTAGTTACTCGGCAAAAAGCGTCGATTAATCGAGTCAAAAATTACTCATGCAAATTTTACTCGTGTAATTATTTACTCGAAAGGAACAGGGCTGGTCAAATGGTCAAATTTTTAGGCTGGTCAAATGCAGAGTCCGATCGATTTCCGAGCGGTCGATGTTGAGTACAGTCCGTTGCACAAGTAAAGTCGATAAAGTCGATAAAGTAGATAGACAAAGCTTGATTCAAATTTTAAAATAATGAAAGATAAGCTTTATTTAATATGAAAAAGCTTAACAACTTGGAAAAAAATGTTAGAAATTTAGATTTTAGGGAAATTTGAGAGTCGATAAAGTATTCTTTTTAAAGTATTCTATTCTTTTTCTCATCTATCTATCTTTTCAGCAATCTAAACATTTCATTACAAAGAAAAAGTTATTCAAAACAATATTCTACTTTTAAATTTGATTCTTTTTTTTCCTTCACTTTGAGAATCTAATCCCGATTGGTGACATTTTTTTGGTTTAAAGATGGGAGATCCTCTCAAAATGTTTCCCTTTCTTTTTTAACCTTCAACCTTGACTCTTTATGTGTATCAAATCAAATCAACCATAGAAAATCCTATCAAAGAAAAGGAAAACAGGAAAAATGATTCCGATTTAGATTGATCTTCATGAATTACCACCACAAACATCTCATGGAGTTATCCAACAATGGGCATACTAGTGAGTTTTCACTGTGTTCAATGAGTTTACACATACCGTAAATACTGTAATAGTACCGCCCGCCCATAATGACGGTGCGGAGTGTTGCGTAGTCTAGCTTTGAACGAGTTTTTCTCAACACTGGTCTATGCTACAATGCGCGCTTTGGTATCAAAAAATAGCTGAAATTCAGGGCTATTTTTTGATACCAAAGACGCATTTTTTGAAAGTACGGGTGCTTTGAAAAAAAATACTAAAAAACTTTTGCGACTACGCGACTGTACGAAGGCGGTGGGGTACTATTACAGTATTTACGGTAAGCCTTACTGTTAACGAACAAAACCTCTTTCAGTTGCCGCCTCTTCGGTGAAACCCGATTGGGAATCAAGGCAACCGTACATTACCGGTGGTGGTCTCAAGCACAAGGTACTCTAGCTTTCTAAACAACTCTCCCACTCACTGCTAAGAGTTCTAGTATAAAGCAAAATAGAACCGCTATAGCTGAAGTTGTCAAACGAAAGAGTGTTGTATATTTTGCGGAAAAGATTCTTGTCTAGCAAACTAGTTTTTAGTATAAGCTGATGCAATTCCATCTTCACTGGGCTGATGTTGATTACCGTGGCAGTGAGCACACGATTGGAGGGTTAAGCTATCCAGCTGAGGTGAGATTTATTCTAAAAATCCATTAGACACCACTTGACACTACTTGAACACTTTAACTAATCCTCTAAAACCGGAAATGTGCATTATAGATGATGTTTGGCACCTTCCCTTGATGACAGAATTAGTTCAAAGTAGACAAGATATGGAAAAATTACAAATAAATCAGTTAAGCCTAAATTCTTAAGCCTTAACACAGAATTAATGACCAAGAGACAGGATTTCTGTAATTTGCAAGAACTGCAAGAATCTTGTCCCAACATCTCCCCATTCAGCTTCACCTCGTTCACTATCGCGAGGACCTCAGCTTCAGCGAGGCTGTCAACAAAAAGAACGGACTTGCGGTTGTCGGCGTTTTCCTCACAATCGGCGAAGAGTCAAGACCACTAGAGCACATTGTCAGCTCTCTTAAACAAGTGATCGCACCAGGTATTAGATTAGACGGAAGATTGTTATCTAGGAGATGATCTAGGCAATAAGAGCCAGATTCATGGTTTTCACCTTCATCGTCTTCTGCCCATAAATCACGATTCTTTCTATCGGTAAAAGAAAAAGAATAGATAGTTAAATTCGAAATTTTTAGATACGACGGCTCGTTGACCACCCCAGGTTGCTTTGAGAGCGTCATTTGGACTGTTCTCACCGAGCCGATCTCAATCACGAAAAGACAGGTACCTAGAAAAAGGATAAATAGCAATGAAAGCAATTCTAGTTCTTCAAAGGCTTAAATTTGAATTACTCAAATTACCCCAATTTAGATGGAAGAGTTGCGTGCGATTCACTCTCAAAACAATATCCCCTACGAGTACAACCATCGACCGGTTCAACCGCTGAATGGACGAAAGGTAGTCAGAAGATGGAAAAATACTTCAATTATAAATTAAAGATTAAAAACAATTCGATTACGATAGCCGTCCCAGGGTTGCCGTTTCACAAGCGCTTTGACTTGAGAAAAACAATGGCTAATGCGTAATGCCTAATTTCCAGGTTCTCTACCGTCCATCTCATTTCGACAAATCCATATTGTGCAGCTCAACCGGTGCCATCTTCTCTAGTTTCACTTTCTTGACATTCATAGTTTATAGCTTCTTCTTTTAGTTCACAGCAAAGTAGGCAATTTCCATGTTAGTCTTTGCATGCCTGTTTTAATTCGCTCAGCTGATCTCATTCGCATTTAATACATGATATCTAAATAAATCTTGCGTTCAAAGCAGAAGTGTTGATTTACATTTTAAAACTGACACAATAGTGCTAGAGATTCAAATAGAAAGCTAAGTGATTCACATAGCTTTCAGAATGTTTCCGAAATTGCTTACAGTTATTTGGTTTGTTTGTCTGTTCTGCATTCACTGTGACCATAGGCATACGCCCTGCATTTCTGCCATAAACGTCATGATTGGTTGCCATTCAATAATTTACCCATAAAACGAAAACATTGATGCGGGAAAGGCACGCACTACTCAAGATTATAAATAACAAAAGTGAGGGGATAGTCGAGAGTTCACAGAAAAGTCCCAGGCTATAATAAATAGGGTTTTGGTTACCTAAGAATCACAAATGAATAAAGCCAAAGTCATCCAAGAAAATCGGTAGTCGTATTTAGACAGCTGAATAAATACTATAACACTAAAGAATTGCTGAGATTTGAACTGGAGACAATTGGTCTTAAAACAAAATCACCCCGTTACAATGACTTGTTTATCAGGAAAGGAGATACACAAAAACGAAACAACAACATAAATCGACGAACAAAATAGCCGTTCATCAAACAAAGAGAAAAAGCTCAAGGCATTACAAATGTGATGAGGCGTGCACAAAGAAAAAGGCCATAAGTATCAAAAAAGACCTATCTGACCACATCGGTATCACTTATTAGATGGGGAGTTCAAGGTTCTTGTTTGTGCGCACGACACGGGTCACGTAGAGGTAGAAGAAGTCGGCATAAAGCACCGTCTGCACAATTCCGGCCACCGTAACAATTGGATCGAAGAACGACTCGGTGTAGTATCTAAATCAAGAACTAAATTTGAAAAGTCTAATTTACTTTTCGCGCGTATAGCTCAATTATGCAACTTGTATCTATAATCATTTTAACGTACTAAATTTAAAGAAACGCACCTGTACAACCAGTTCAACAGGTAAAGACCACGGTAGATTCCTAGTGCGAACAAATAATGAGCGGTGATAGATTCGGCTTGTCCTGTGGTTGAAAGCATGAAAAGTTGTGGCATGATGGCAACCGCTTCAAGGTAGATACTAAAACAAATTTTAATGTTAATATCTTTAAAAAATATTACCTGAATGTCCAAGCTATTTCCGTAAGAGCGAACTCGTTGTTGATGAGCAAAGCCAATGCAAAACATGGGATGATCAGGTAAAGCTCCTTGAACGTATCCGACGCCTTTTCATACGTTGGACGGAACTAAAGCGGTAATTAATTATAGAAAGAAAAGCTTTAAAATACCTTGACAAACATCAAATAGAGCGTTCCTAGTGAAGATCCAATGAAGAAAATCTAAGCGAAGCGTAAAGTTTAAGAGAGAAAATTAAAACCTTCATGGCGGTATTGTAGAGAGAAACGAACGTGGTGAAGAGATCCATATAACGCGTGATGAATACAATCGCAAAAAGAATTTGCGATCTAAAACACGAAATAAGTGACATTCTTGGCAAACATACTGCTATATTTATGCCTGATTTACCTACAGATTTATTAAATCTTTTCACAAATATTTCAATCTTGAATGATCGTCAAAGCAAGGTTCAGGTAAAATTTTGAAAATCCAATGATGCAAAAATTTACCTAAGCAATTAGGCAAAGCGGAGCCTTTACGTTACCTTGCTTTCTCAAAAAAATATCAAAACAAAACTAACTTAGCCGAGATCCCGGAAACGGAACGGCTTTTCCACATTTTGCTCAGCAAGATGAGGATCGCCACCAAGTGCGACATGTCAGCGGAAAGACGAAAGATATTCATCTTGGAAGTCCTAAACAAAAAACATTAATAACGGAATTTTAGTGTAATATGATGGGCAGGTGCTTAAAAGGGCAAGAATATTGGCTGAAAATTGCTAAATTGGATAAAGTAATCAGAAATGGGTAACTAATATTCTTCTGGGCCCTATTTCCGGACAATGACCTTGTCCAGTTGGGGCACCCATCAAATCGTAAAAATAGTGAAAGATGATTGACGGCAAAAGGACGACGTGTATGTTCGTCTCAGCCGCTATCCGGAAAGCATCCCGCCGCGGGACCCATTTTAATACTCTAGTGGAAACAAAGCCAATAAAAGGGCGATCGTAAAATTCCTGAAAACGCTTACACTATGTTTACTGGTTTGCCTCAATTCAGCTAAACTTTGAAATGTATACGCACGCTATTTTCGCAAAATTTCCCGAAAAAGTCAAGCCTGAGGAGAAGAAAATCAAGGTGGGTAATGTTAAATTTTATTATCAAGCGTAAACATGGCTAATAAAACTTTGCGAATCGTTAACAGCAACGATAATGATACCAAATCATTGTAAAATCCTTTATTGTATCAGAAAAATGCTTGTAAAACTAAAAACCAACCACCAAGTTTTATTTTCGTTAGCGTTTTGTTAAAACCTCGTTAGCCGTGTTACTCGATTAAAAGAAGACCAACCAAATCAAGTCGATTCCGTTAAATAGTAGTGTGAGTCGTCGTTCGCACAACCTAAATTTTAAAATGTTAATGAATCATAAAAGGTAAAACAAAAAAAAAAACAATAAGTTTAGCTCGATCAAGAATTGTTGCGGGCACAATGTGATGGATTTCAAGAAACGCTTCGACAAGCAGGCATCGCTATTATGGAGTTGCCAGAGGAAAGTGAGTAAAACGAGGTCAACTTAAAATAAAAGTGAAACCTTCAGGCAATCAGTGCTGCAGTCTTTTCGTTAACGATCTAGCGGTTGTGATTGGGCAAACGGCGTTGATTTGCCGGACAACAAAACTTAAAGAAGTGCCGGATTCGGTCAGTGATGCGGGGAAATGTATAAAATCAAGGTTTAGCTACGGAGAATGCTGAAACAGCTCGTTTGGCGAGTGCTTGAATGTCCCCAAAAGACGGACAAGGGTACAAAAGTTTACTTGGAAGCATCAGATGTGCTCTACACGGGCAAGGAAATCTTCGTGGCAACGAGAAAGAATGGAACAAACGTCGAAGGAGCTATGGTTCGTTGAAGACTTAAAATGATTGATTTCATTGTTACTTTTATTTTATATAGACAAAAATTAAGTCAACTTAGCATTTTAGTAAACAATTGAATATCCTATTATCTATAAATTCTTACTGATAACGAATTTAGCTAGCCAGTTTCGTTCAATTTCTGGTTTTCAAGTTAGTGGGCGTTCTTCAAACAAAAAAATGAATTTCAAATTGATTTCATGAAAAAAGCTTGATTTACGATAAGCGATGCATACTTTAGGAGTAAAAAGTCTCTCTCAAATATCTCAAAGTCAAATTCCAGATCCTAGCCCGCGCCTTCCCGTCACTTCCAGTTGTGATCGTCCCCCTTGGCAATTCTCCACCACTTCGATTTTTCCTATCAATGGCCCTTCCTGAGAAAGTGATCGCCGTCGGAAACAGCAAAGAGGCGCAAAACGTTTTAAAGGTTTAATCGCAAAACGATTGTAATCAAGAAATCTGTAGCTGGTCGAAAGAGAAGCCACTTTTCGTTACAAAACGATAACAACGGCTGAAGACACAGCATCAGCTTGTCTGAATGTGAATGGAAGAGTCGTGGTCCGACAGGATCGGCCAGAAGCGGTGAGTCTAATAGTAAGATCGAACGTTCGACTAAATAAGCTATAGAAAAATTTCGTACTCGAGCAGACTTTACGGTAGGTTTCGCCACCAAACCAGACCTCTGGCTTACGGTATTTCTCAAGAGCACCTTTTAGCAAACGTTAAGATGAGTGGAACACTTTCAGGATTTCTACAATCTTTGACAATTGATGGCTTTAAAAATCTAAACAGAACCAGTGTAATAGACAATTTTTCAGAAATACTCGAGTCTCAAAGATGAAGGCCTCGAATTGTGGGCTCTCGACGTGTCCGAGTTAAGCAAATTGGGCCATCCATTCACACGTTTCTGCCTTCTCGTCACATTTGAACCAAAATCTGATTGATTTCTAATGAAAAACTACTTTTTGCAAAGATTCCTAGTCTAGAGGTTATTGCTGAGAATCACTTATTAATTTTTCAATTCAAATCGATCACTTGAGCTTTTCTTACCTTTATGTCAGGGATCTTATTTCCGTTATCAGCCCATCAGTATTACGTATCAAAACGATGAATCTCCCGTGAATTGTATCTCTTTCTGAGAGTTAATAAAGAGCTTTTTTTTATTCAGATATTCGGTCTTACTTTGTTTAAAGTGTTTTGGTTTCATTTTTGTAAACACTTTATTCCAAACAAAAACAAATTCATAAGCAGCTCTGGGGTAGAGAACAATAGAAAAAGGCGAAAACAAAGCGAATTCGGGGCAGAAAAGCCTTTATGCTTTGTGAGATGAAAAAATGGGGCGCAAAAAAATTACCACTATTGCACTGTATTCGGATATTCGGTCTTACTTTGTTTAATGAGATTTTTTGCCAAGTGGAAAAGTCGCACTAAAATTGGAAAGATATTGATTGTCAGATTAAAAATGAATATGCTTAAGCCGTATGTGGGGTGTTCGCACTTTACCTTAAGTACCGTAGCTGAATATCAGCTCTACATAAACTACACTGTGGTCCTTACAGTAAGCCAATCATTTAAAGACGACAGTTCTGCTTCAGTTTGAAATTAAAAATTCTAGGTGTGAAGCTCGTACTTTTTCACGTTTTATAGTTTGCTTGACTAAAAGGTTTCAATATTCGGCTGACAAAAGTTACCCATCGTACTTGTAAACTACATTGTAAAAAGTACCCACCCATCGCTTTTTGTTCTTTCTTCCTTTCTTGCTGTTTTCCTTGTCTTCATCATCAATCACTGCACTCGTTTGCTCGTTTTTCTCGCGTCTTAACCGTCCCCTTCGAGCTCTTGGCGTCTCATCGTCTTTTGGAGTATAAACAGTTTGCAAAACAACGGCCGAGCTTACCTAAATAAACACTATATAAAATAAAAAAGAATTGGTTTTAACAAACCTCATCGCTTCCAGTAAGAGTACTCCTAGTCGTTTTTCTCTTTCTTGCTGTTCCTAGTGTTTCGTTCTCCTTTTCCTCTTCGATGATTGTCACTTTTCGCTTTCCGCAACTCTTCATTGACATTGTCTTCTGAAAGCGAACATTTTTTAAATTGGGCACCAAGAAGTTCAAGAAGGAGTTCAACTGTATCATCAATAACCGGCTTTGCAGCTCTGCCTTCAAGGGTTCCTGAATTAGAATAGCTTATTGGAATCAAAACCTTTCACTGACCTCGACACTTCTTCGATCCGCCATGGCACTTTTCAAGGATTCCTCTCTCTGTGTAAGCTTCTATTGCATAATCGAAAACGAGCTGCTCGCCTGAAAATGGGAAATCAGCGAGTTAGAGTTTAAGATAAAATGACATCGATGTCTGAAACAAAAAAAATGATTACCAGTTTTGATGGGACGCGACGTGGAGATGGGAGTTCGCTCGTCTCTCTAAAGTTTGAAGGATTAGACATACGTGCTATTTCAAATCTATATAATACTAAAGAACTCACATCACATGTCACTTTGGTCTCCTTGATAACGATCCTAGTCGGCTCAACGATGCAACGATGCTCAAAGGTTCGGTTCGCATGAGTGATTGATGAATCTAAAGGATAAATTTTCCAATTGTTATACCATGCTAAGCGCTACCTGCTCAAATTAGCCTTGAACTTTGCGTTGACGATCCGTTGAAGACCTGTGATCGACAACATGTAATGCATCTCTTCCAAATCACGTCTACTCGTCGCCTGCTCAATCTAAAATAAACATTTTAACAAGCAATCAACGAGATTTAAGGTTTATCCTTCAAAATCACTTGCCCCTCTTAATTGCTGAGCCTTTGAAATGATCTCCCCAGCGTACTCGTCAATAAGTGTTTACTGAAGTTGCAGAGTCAATGAGCAAAAACCACCTTCCCACTCACCGCGTCATCTTTCGTCGCAAACAGTCCTTTTTCCATTCCACCAATATCCTGTATTTTCACATTCTTGCAAGATTCTCCGTTCGTAATCTCACGATTTAAGCAACCACCGCCTTTCTTCGCGCATGCCTAAAGCATTTGTAAACTTTTCCATCATATGTGCCATAGTTACTGACTTTAAATGCGCTAAAACTTGATGGCCAAATTTCTCCTGTTATAGTTGTTGTAAAAGGTTTTAGCCGACTAAAACTTTAGTTTCAGAAAATGACTCACAAATGGACACTCCTGATTGTGGCTTCGATTCAAGCAAGACGATCCGGACGCGCAACGATTCGCCTTGTTTTGCGATCCTTGCCTTATAAAGTTGATAGCCTTGGCGGGACTTGTGTCATGCAAAAGCTTAGGAATTTCGGCTCAAAGTTCAAAAGGTATCACAAAACCTACGCTCCGGTGTCACTTTTGGGTAGCAACAACAGCGTGGATGGAATGAGCGCGGATAGTTAGCGCATTCTAGCAACGTCTCACCGTTGATGGGTGCTAAATAAATGGTAAAGCGTTGGGTTTTTATGAATCAGCGCTCACCTTTGTTGCACTCATAGCAATATTTAAGCTTCTGGCTCACTTTGATCATTTTCTTCAATCTAAAAATGTGAAATAAACTCTGATACATGAAAACAAAACCTACTTTGGGTCAATGGCTTGATGTTGCGAGCAAACACAATACGAGACGCCCTCTATCACGATCGGTTTCCCGTCTGCGTTCACTGAGCTTGGTGTGATCACTCGGGCTCCTAAATAAGAACAGATTGCAATAAGACTCGCGTGACTTCAATAAGACTACTTTAGGATATGAATGACCCTAATCCTGTCCTGCTCTTTGTTCTAGGCCTTTCCTGGCTTCTTCTGGCACTGATCCAGCACTAGTCGGACGGATTCTGTATTGACCATGCCCGCTCTAAATTCCTGGAACTGACTTAATCCTAGTCTCGACTAACGTTGAACTAATCTTAAACTTCTAGCCTGCACTCTATTACATCAAAAGCTCAGCATACGATTAGCCGGTGAACAAGTAGCGAAAAGTCGTGTAGTCTCTTCTATTTAGAAAATATTTTTTTTCTCAATCCCTAGACTTTCCTCAACTATGCTTTTAGTACCAAAAATACTAGATTTCAAGGGCTATCATTTGACATCCAAGCGCACGCTGTAGCAGTACTTCAGTTCATGTTAAAAGTAGGGGCACTCGAAAATTATACAAAAGATTAAATTAACCAAAAAATCATTCAGTTAAGCAGTTGCATTTAGTAATTCGTATATTTTAGTAGCTATATAAATGTTAATAGCATCTATGGCATTGTATTTGCTCCCTGTACAGTCGCGTAGTCTCTTCTTTTTAGAAAATATTTTTTTTCTCAATCCCTAGACTTTTCTCAATTACGTTTTTAGTACCAAAAATACTAGATTTCAAGGGCTATCATTTGACATCCAAGCGCACGCTGTAGCAGTACTTCAGTACTTTCTAAAATGCGCCAGGAAAATATATCGTAATCCCACTGACATGCCGAAAATTTGCCTTACTTCCCCAAACGTTTTTGGTTTTTGGGAAAAATCGTTCTTCCACCTGTTGATGCTGACTTTTTTTATTGCTTTTGATAAAATGAGATTGTTTCTCGTTTAAATCACTAAAACAAACACTAACAAGCTATGGGCTTAATAAATAAGACAACAATTTCAGGTTGAACTTTAACTCTAATTTTGTTTCATGTAGAATCGATTCGATCTCAATTTGAAAAATGAGTCAAATCAGTAAAACGCCAAAAAGAGGCAATTCTAGCAAGTTTCCGTCCACTGCAAGTATCTTTTAGCTAACACTTTCAAATTAAAGATCCCTATTCATTTTATTTTTGCCTCTCAAATCGAATCTCTTTTGAGTGTCAAATAGGGGGCACACAAGAGAATTTCCGGTATTATTTGGTTGAGTTGAAAGAGAGAGAAGACGGGATCTCACATGAAAGGGAGTCCCTTTCAATAAGGGCCTTCACCTAGGGAATTCACGTGGAAAGCGGATATTCCCTGTTATTCCAAGTCGATGAAATTTGTCCTCTCTTTTCTCATTCATTCATTCTTTACGCATTTCATTGCTTCAATTAGCATTGTTGTATGTTGAAAGGCTTTTGAAATCTATCGTCAAACAAGGGTTCCTCTTTGGAAATGGAATGGCTGGCTGGCTGGCTTAAATGGCTGGCTACAGTAGCTTTTCTTAAGCGGACAAACTATTCTAAAGTATTGATCCGAGTATTCCAGTAAATACGAATATCTAGAAGAATAGACTTTCACTGCTAGCTAGACTTGGCTAACGAGACAAATTGGTTGCACAACTCCAGGCACTTTATCTAGCATCCAGAGCATCGGATTTCAATGGACTTTTTTTTATTTAAAAGCCAAGATTTTAAGCTATCTAATGATATCTATCACTTGAATTTTTGTTTTGAAAATGGGAGTCAAAAGCCTTATCGAGACTTAACGAGACAACTCTTCGTTATCTCGATCTCGATAAGTTTTTTGACCCACTTTTTCAAAAGAAAAATCTAAGTGATGGGTATCATTAGATAGCTTAAAATCTTGGCTTTTAAATAAAAAAAGTTCATTAGAATCCGATGCTCTGGAGGCTAGATCAAGTGCCTGGAGTAGCAGGCCCCGATTTTTGTTCTGTCTCGTTAAGCAAGTCTACTCCTAGCTACGGTAGCTTTTAATTGAGCGTATCTTTTAGGGGGGGGGGGTAAACCCAAAACACCAAAAAAAAAAAAAAAAAATAAAAAAAAAAAAAAAAACAAAAAAAAAAATAAAAAAAAAAAAAAAAAAAAAAAAAAAAAAAAAAAAAAAAAAAAAAAAAAAAAAAAAAAAAAAAAAAAAAAACAAAAAAAAAAAAAAAAATATAAAAAAAAAAAAAAAAAAAAAAAAAAAAAAAAAAAAAAAAAGGATTCCCTTAAAAATTTTAAAAAATTATAAATTTATTTTTTAAAATTTAAAAAAAAAAAAAAAAAAAAAATAAAAAAAAAAAAAAAAAAAAAAAAAAAAAAGGGGGGCCTTTCCCTTTTTTAATTTTTTTTTTTTGGAAAAAAAAAAAAAAAAAAAAAAAAATTTTTTTTTAAAAAAAAAAAATTTTTTTTTTTAAAAAATATTTTTTTTTTTTTTAAAAAAAAAAAAATTTTTTAAAAAAAAGTTTTTTTTTGGAAAAAAACCTTTTTAAATTTTAGCCAAAGTAATAGTCCCCAACCCAAGAAAATAGTTTAGTTTATACTCAAAAAGGTCCACAAAATTTGAAAGTCACTATTAGCCACCCCTAAAAGTTTTCCAAGTTTCCAGGGAATCACTTTTGCGCAACCGATTGCCCCGATCATTGAGATCAAAGGGAAATCCCGCGGAAAGCAAACCAATCATGGCAACTGTGTACAAACATTTCGTCTATCCACTTCAATTCCTTGTACCTTGTCTTTGTTTATTTATGAGATTATTTGTGACTTCTGTCGATAGCTATTCAAATCTTTCATTTACAATCAATAAGAACATATACAATCTCAAAAAAATAAATCCTGAAAAAACGTCATTTGCACTCGGACATGATGAAGAGGAGAAATAGAATTAAAGAAAAATAAGAAAAGATAAACATTTGATTTGAAGTGGAGGGTGTGAAGAATTGCTTTTCCTGAAAATTGCTTGATACTTGTTTGGTAGAAGATTAAGGATTCGAATTCGTTGAACAATTTAAACATTATCCAGTTGTCTACAGTATAACTAGTCTCTTGTCTACAGTAATCTTTTTGTAATCATAATTTGTAGCTACAATACTTTCCCAGTTATCCCAGTAAAATTGCTTTCCCTGAAAATTGATTGATACTTGTTGGTAGAAGATGTCTACAGTAATCTTTTTGTAATCTTTTTGTAAGGATTCGAATTCGTTGAACAATTTAAAGCACTATCCAGTTGTCTACAATATAACTAGTCTCTTGTCAACAGTATTCTTTTGTAATCATAAAGTTACAATACTTTCCCAGTATGTTAAGCTTGGTGGTATTGTGCTCAATTTTACACTAAACAAAAGATATTCAATCGAAACCTGAACACTTTTTATTCCTACTTTAATGAGAAGCTCTCCTAAGCTTTATTCTTAGCCTCTTCGTTCTCTTACGTTAATCTCTTGGTATTATAGGAAAAGCAAGAGAATGTAGTAGAAAAATAATCTATCTTCTAAGCCAGTTCACTTAACTTTCAGCTTCTTACCCATCAATGAAAGTTCAAATCTCAAACATTCATTTGATCTCAATTCCCCCTCTTTAATCTGCTCTCAATTTCTAATTCCTATTTCAATCCATCTGTCCGGGGATCCATTTGCCGGGGCCGATTTCCATCACAAACAAGGAAAGCAAACAGAAAATACAATGAGACTTTCGGTTGGGGTGAATGTGACCGTCAAAGAAAAGAGAAGGGAAAGAAAAATCGAATGAATTGACGATGGAAACACCTTTGAATTGAACAAATCTTTTCTCACATCGCACCTTTTTGCAACATTTGACCAGTTGAGGTTTAACGATATGCGGATTTGAGGGTTAAGGTTAGGTATGAGTTAGCTTATTCTTCGTGCCCTCACTACTTCCCTTTTATCAAGAGATGAGTGTTCTAGAAGCCGTGCGTTTGTCGGAGCAAAGTACGGCCCGGGTTTCCCATACTTTCCCTTATCTCTATCTCAACCCTTACCTAAATGAGATCATCAATGAGAAGCATAGAGAATTGTAGTGAAATCGATTCACGGAGATGGAGAGTCGATTGAAGTTCCGACAGTTGGGATGAGAAGAGGTTGGACTTGAGCCTGTTGAAGCGCTCGTGCATACATCATCCACGGAGAATCGAGGCCAGGAAGGAATGAGTATCCCAACGAAGTTGTATCCGTCTGAAATAGTTGCTATTGAGCTTTAGTGAAGATTAAGTACTACTAGACAATAGTATAAGCTCTTCTTTCCTTTCCCTCACCTTTGGCAACGAGTACGGAGTCAAGAATGGGCTTGACGGGAACGGTAAAGACAGGCTGAGTGGAGTAACATGAGGCTTGTTCTGGAAAGGGGTATTTAAAGTGTCATTTTAAATATTTACCTTATTGCTGGCTTTCGGCTTTCTCCTTGGGCGATACTTGTAATCGGGATGTTCTTTCATATGAAGAGCGCGAAGTCTAGAAGTAAAATTTGAAACTATTAGTGTTATACATTTTCTGAAAGCTCTTTTCAAGGGCTACACAATGGTAATATTAATATTTAGAAATGCGGTAAAGAAATATGATATTTGAAAAACGATCGTCACTTTCGCGCGTCTGTAACTCCGTTGTCTTTGAGTTTAAACTATTAGTGTTATACATTTTCTGAAAGCTCTTTTCAATGGCTACACAATGGTAATATTAATATTTAGAAATACGGTAAAGACAAGGGAGTTATAGACGCGCGAAAGTGCGAAAGTGTTTTTGTCAAATATGAGATTTCATTGTTCAGTAGTGTAGATGAGCTCTCAGCTACTATAGATGAGCTATCAGCTAATATAGATGAGCTAATAGCTTAAATAGATGAGCTATCATCTAATATAGATGAGCTATCAGTTAACATACAGTACTGGACAATGAAATATGATATTTGAAAAACGATCGTCACTTTCGCGCGTCTGTAACTCCGTTGTCTTTGAGTTTAAACTATTAGTATTATACATTTTCTGAAAGCTCTTTTCAATGGCTACACAATGGTAATATTAATATTTAGAAATACGGTAAAGACAAGGGAGTTATAAGCGGACGAAAGTGATGATCTTTTTTTAAATATCATATTTCATTGTCCAGTAGTGTAGATAGTATTAAAAATGAATAGAAATCAACAGAAATTAACTAAGACAAGATCTCAGTGTTAAGTGCTAGTAAGTACAGTACTGGACAATGAAATATGATATTTGAAAAAAGATCGTCACTTTCGCGCGTCTGTAACTCCGTTGTCTTTGAGTTTAAACTATTAGTGTTCTACATTTTCTGAAAGCTCTTTTCAAGGGCTACACAATGATAATATTACCGTCTAGAAGTCAAATTTCAATATAAATAAAGAAATAAATCTATTTCTAACAGATAAAACTAAAATTGATTTAAATTTTTACCTTTTCGCCTCATCAATAAATGGTCTCTTCTCAGCCTCACTTAAGCGTTTCCACTCAGCGCCAAGACGTTTGCTAATCTCCGAATTGTGCATCTAAAATAGATTTGAAGATTTAAAGATTATTCCACTTTAGCCTTACAAGCATTTGATGATGATAAACCTTATAGTATTTGATGATAAAATTGATCTAATCCTATTCACCTTTGGATTATCTTGTGCCATTTTTCTTCTTTGTCCTCGACTCCATACCATGAAAGCATTCATTGGGCGTTTCACATGATCATTTGGATCAAGTGAAGAATCCAATTGAATACCCGAGTGACTTTGACTTGGTGAATGCGGTGGTGGTGACATATCTAAAAAGAATCATTTTTAAAATCTTATTTTTAGAGTTTTAACTACCCGATGATCCAGAAGCTGCCTCATCACACGCTTCATCGGTTGTTGGTGAGATTTTTAACTCAATCGACTCACTCGGCACGAGCGGGGAAACTGTTTTCACCAAGTTCGAGAGATTCGTCACTGAGTTTGGATCCTGAAATTTTAAGAGAAACATTCTAAATTGTTAAGTTTACATTTGAAATTGATTTAAAGGTATGATCATGGTTTGAAATAGTCTTCAAAACAGTCAGTTAACTAAAACTTGTCTACTAGCTGGCAAAAAGTTTAAGTAAAATTGTTAAATCTATTTAATCCAGAGCTGTTGTAAGCGGATTTGAAGTTAAGCAGGCTCAAGCATGGCTTTATTTGATTCAAAGACTTTTGTGGACCAAGGCAGGAGTAAGTCTTGGCCATTGTCCCATTACCCAGGTTAATTTGATTTGAAACAATTGGATGATTAGAAGAGAATAACCATGATCATATTTGATTTGATAGCATTGATTCAATGATTTGATTGATTGAATTGATTGAATTGATTGACTTGATTGAATTGATTGAATTGATTGAATTGATTGAATTGATTGAATTGATTGACTTGATTGAATTGATTGAATTGATTGAATTGATTCAATGATTTGATTGATTCAATTGATTCAATTGATTGATTGATTCAATTGGTTCAATTGATTGATTCAATTGGTTCAATTGATTGATTCAATTGGTTCAATTGATTGATTCAATTGGTTCAATTGATTGATTCAATTGATTCAATGATTTGATTGATTCAATTGATTCAACTGATTCAACTGATTCAACTGATTCAATTGATTCAATCAATCAAATCAATAAAATAAAAAATAAAAAGCATACCGGTATTCCAAAAACCGATCTCATTTCTGGCTTTAAATCAGGGAAAAGCATTTTTTTGCAAAAGAAGAATGGATCCATCATCTAAAAAAAAGAGTTGTTGAAATTTTTGAAAGAAAAAAATGAAAAATTGAAATGAATTGAAGTGAATTGAAGTGAAATGAAAATTGTTGAATCCTTTTTTGTATTCCCAATTCTCAAGAGTTCCTATTTGTGAGTAGGTACAGAGAAAATCATTTGGATTGAGGAGAAAAATTGCTTAGCGAAAAAGTTGAAGAGGACTTTCTCTTAATTCGTCAAGGATTTCTATCCTTCAATGGCACTTGTTTCACCTTTCTTTTTCTCATTAAGTATCTTCAAGAGTGAAACTGGGGAAAGTTGAAAGTTTTCGGGATTGGATTGTTGAATACGATGATCTAGAGTGTGTTCCTCATTTATTTAAGAAAAGTACCGAAACAAGTGCCATTGAAGGAAGAAATCCTTGACGAATTAAGAGAAAGTCCGCTTCAACGTAATCAAACCGTTAGTTTACATTTAATTCGTCTGATTTTGGTATCGTTCAATGAGGAATTACAATGCTCAGTCAATGATACGAAAAACGGGCTGATCGAATGCAAAATAACGGTTTGATTATGGTACTTTTCCTTAAATAAATGCATTCTAAAAAACGCATTACAGAAAGAATTGAAGGAAGAAATCCTTGACGAATTAAGAGAAAGTCCTCTTCAACTTTTTCGCTATTACGATGATCTATCGGTACTGATCAAATACAGTAATTACTGTCTTACTAGTAATCTAGTATTACTAGTAATCTACTAGACCGCTAGATCATCGTACATCGTAATAGCGAAAAAGTTGAAGAGGACTTTCTCTTAATTCGTCAAGAATTTCTTCCTTCAATTCTTCCTCTCGAGTAATGCGTTTTTTAGTATCTAGTATTACTAGTAATCTAGTATTAATCTAGTAATCTAGTAGTAATCTAGTAATCTAGTATTACTAGTAATCTAGTATCACTAGTAATCTAGTAGTAATCTAGTAATCTAGTATTAATCTAGTAATCTAGTATTACTATTTCTTATTCCCACACAATAAAATCGACCAAAACCAACAAATTGACGCCTCTAAAAGCCCTTCAAAACGAAATAAATCTAGCATTACTAGTAATCTAGTATTACTAGTAATCTTTCTTTTCTAAAATCTACAATAATCGAATTCTATCACATGTTTAGAGTACTATTTCATGTAATTTCAAAAATCTTTATCTTAAAAATTTCATGTTATAGACTTTTCCAATTCCAGATTCCAGCAGATCCTTTGTTATCGGTTTTTTTTCTCTAAAAACATTGAAAACAAAGGAACAAGGAACCATTTTGCCGATTGAAATGCAAATTTTCTTATTCTCACACAATAAAATCGACCAAAACCAACAAATTGACGCCTCTAAAAGCCCTTGAAAACGAAATCAATCCAATTTTTTTTAAAAAACACCTGTCATTGATAAAAAATGTTTCCAGAACCTTTCCCCACCTACTTTCAAAGCCAGATCAGGTGCTTTTTCAATACCTTTTTCCAAACTCATTTAAATAGACTACAAAAATGGATTTGAAAAGAGCAAAAATGATTATTCATACAATAATTGAAAAGTTGACATTTTGGAAGAGATTTTTGAGTTATTTTCGTGAACAAAATGTGGGTGGAGTGATTTTGAAAACATTTTTAAATAAAGATTCAAACATTAGTGAAAGTTGATGCTTTAAAAAGAATGTTGACTGACGAAGAATGATGAGTTTCAGCCTAGAAAATCCTTCTGACAGTCATCAAGATACTTTAAAGAACTTCTGAAGCTTATTAAGCAACTCTCTAGCACATAAAGAAGTTCTTCAAAGTATCTTGATGACTGTCAGAAGGATTTCATAAGCTGAACAGGTCACACTTTAGAATTTCATGGTGATTGATTGATAAAATCATCAACAAATGGGAAGATGTGGCTTTAAAAAGACTAGTTGACTGATGGAGAATGATGAGTTTCAGCCTATAAAATCCTTTTGACAGTCATCAAGATACTTTGACGAACTTCTTTATGTGCTAGAGAGTTGCTTAATAAGCTTCAGAAGTTCTTAATAAGCTTCAGAAGTTCTTAATAAGCTTCAGAAGTTCTTAATAAGCTTCAGAAGTTCTTCAAAGTATCTTGATGACTGTCAGAAAGATTTTACAGGTCACACTTTAGAATTTCATTGTGAGTGTTTGATAAAATCATCAACAAATGGGAAGATGTGGCTTTAAAAAGACTAGTTGACTGATGAAGAATGATGAGTTCAAATCCCTTCACTCATTTCACTCATTTCCCCATTCACCTGTTTCCCAACCCAATAAACGGTAAGCGATCAGCTAAATAAAAGGTCAAGGTACTCAAAGGGAAGAAGAAAGTCTCTTTCACAAGTCACTTTTCCGACCATTTCCCCCATTTTCTCCTCATTCTAATTACCACAATCTTTCAAAAGAAAAGAAGAACAATTAGTTGAAAGGGATTTCATTGAGAAAGTTTTTGAGAAAGTTTTTTTTGAATTTAAAGAAAATAGAGACTCTTTGGCTTTTTATTAACTTCAAATTGAATTCAAAGCTTAGATTTCATAGGTCTTACTAGTAATCTAGTATTACTAGTAACCTAGTATTACTAGTAATCTAGTATTACTAGTAATTTACTTCAATGGGTAAAGAAAAATGATTCTCATCTTTTCAACTTTTTTTTTCTGTCAAAGCAAATCAAAGCACTTCAGAGAGGAGAAAGAGTCTGAAATTTGAGTTGAAATGAACAATGGATTGAAGAACAGAATTGAAGAAAAGGAGAAGGGATGGTTGAGGGTGAAAATTGCCATTGTGTCACTCATTTCTTCGAGATTAGAAAGAGAAATCAAGGGAAAACAGAAGAAATTTTAGAGAATTCAAAGAAAGAATTGAAGAATTATTATTAGATTTGAGAAGGAAAGTATTCTGATTCTTATTCTGAAAAGAAATCAAGAACAGAACAAAGTCTCGAATAGAGCTTCTTAGATAAGAAGTTCGAAATCGTTTCGTGATCAGAATGCTAGAAAAATGAAATTTAAATTGAGTACCTATTTCACATTAGACTTTCGGTCAAAGTTAGGGCAAAATGGAAGGTACAAGTAGCTACAAATCTAGTAGCTACTTGTACAAGTAGCTACTAGATTACTAGATTAGCTACTAGTAGCTACTTGTACAAGTAGCTATCTTCTACAAATCTACAGCTACAAATCAGCTACAGTACAAGTCTACAGCTACAGCTACAGTACAAGTCTACAGCTACAGCTACAGTACAAGTCTACAGCTACAGCTACAGTACAAGTCTACAGCTACAGCTACAGTACAAGTCTACAGCTACAGCTACAGTACAAGTAGCTACAAATCTTCGAATATTCAACTTTGCTATGTTAATTTTAGATTAGATTAAAAAGAGAAATCAAGGGAAAACAGAAGAAATTTTAGAGAATTGAGGAATTATTATTAGATTTGAGTTTCTGAATTTTATTATTCTGAAAAGAAATCAAGAATAGAACAAAGTCTCAAACAGAACTTCTTAGATAAGAAGTTCGAAATCGTTCCGTGATCAGAATGTTAGAAAGATGAAATGTAAATTGAGTACCTATTTCACATTAGACTTCCGGTCAAAGTTAGGGTAAAATGGAAGGTACAAGTAGCTGCAAATCTAGTAGCTACTTGTACAAGTAACTACAACTCCTAGAATATTCAACTTTGCTATGATTTGCTAACCAAAGTAGCAAGTCAATACTCTTTGGTATCTAAATTTTAAACTCATTCAACCCCTTTAGATATTTAGAATCTAATAAGCTCTGATTTAGCTTTGGAGTACTGTAGAAAGTCACACTTGATTTCAATAACTTATAAAATTTTTAGAAAATAAGGCAAAAGTACTATAAAATAGCAGAAGATTAGAACAAAACTGGCTAAGGAGAATAGCAAAGAAATGTGGAAGAGTTAAACGAAAAGGATAAAACAGATAACGGATTCAAGGCTAGTTTAGATATACTCGTTTGGTGTATGTAAATTGGCATGCAACTTTTCCCCTTCTTTGAAACCGGAGAAGGGGAAAGGGGCGGGGTTTTGTATCAGTCATTCCTTCGATTCTCCCCTTCTCTCCTCCCCCCATTGGCCCCCATTGTGCTCATGAATGCAAAGACAAGTAAAAGAAAAACTTTTATCAGATAAGATATCTTGAATCTTGATCTAGAAGAGTACGGTAATCGGTGAGAAATGGTAGATAATAGCTACCGTATTCCTCAATAAACGCCCCCCCCCCCTGACCAACTTTGGACGCTTCGTTCTCAGCCCCATTTGGAGATATTTTTATGTTTAATATATCAAAAGATAGAAGACATTAAGGGCTATCTTTTGATATATTAAACATAAAGATATCTCAAAATGGGGTAGCGAGCGTCAAAGGGGGTTTAGAGGAATACAGATCTAACAAGCCGTACCCTTACCCGTACCTTGTACTCTAGCAACTCTGACACTCTCACATTCTCATACCACTATTTTACCAGAAAGTGTCCGTTTGTCCGAGCACAAAGTACGAGAAAGTAGTCATAATTTAGCTGAAGCTGCTCTAGCAAACGAATGGCATATTTATTTATCATTTTGGAGATCATTAGCATTAATAAAAAGTATTAAGACAAGAAAATGATCTAATGTGCTAGAAAGAGTGTGTTTGTCAGAAGCTGAAGTTCAGAATATCTTGAAAATGGAAACAATCAAGATGCAATAAATTGTTAAATAAACTGATAACCTCAACCTACCCAGTGACTCAGTTGGATGTCTTACCCAGGTCCATCTTTGATTTCAGGTTATACAATTTTTCTCTCTCAATATTATCAATATTATCAGAGAAAGAAGAAACAAAAGTTGAACCGAATTCAAAGGAAAACAAGATCTATCTCTTACTAAGAGTAAGATATCTAAAAATGGAAAGAATCAAGATACAACAAATTGTT